GTACAGAAAGATGTTCCTAATAAGAAGCTGTCAGGAGAGCAATCAGATGCTGAAGAGGAGCCAGAGGAGGACACAGTTGAACTGGAACTGGCTTTAGAAAGGAAAAAGGTAAGTTTTGCATAAATTGTGAGTTTAAAGCTGTTTTTATTATCACTGCCAGACTTTTTGCATTAAGAAGCAGACACTACACCACTGCTGTTGAGCTGTGGTCCTTCCACTGAATATTTCACCTCAAGAAAAGCCTAAAATAAGACAGAGAAACCTGATGAATACAATTAGTAGTCTTGCATTACTTTTTAAAACATTTTCTTATAGTTTTTTCTCTCCTTTCTATACATAGAGAACAGCATGTAAATCTTTCATAAATGCCTTGTGAGTTTTAAGGCAAGTCTGCAACCAGTGGTTCGTCTAAAGTAACTCGCCCTTGTTACCCATTTTTAGGCAGAGCTTCGGGCACTCGAAGAGGGTGACGGGAGCGCAGGGGGCTCCAGTCCCAGGTCAGAGACCAGCCAAGATGCTGCAGGATCACGTGGGGCTCTGCTGAAGAAGAACCGCTGGAAGGCCGTCTTTCCAAGTGTTGCCAGCCCCGATTCTAACAGCAGAGGCTCAGACTTCCTGGACAACGCAGAGACGAGTGAGTTTGAATTTTTATTCTGACATAACAGCACCTCAGTGTATTTTAATAAGAATTTTGAAAAATCTCTGAGAACATTTGTTCGTATGTGCCTTTTAGCTCTGCCGAAAACCGAAAGTGTCGTTGAAGGAGAAGTAAAGGAAACAGACAATTCAGAGGAGACGGAGGTTTCAAAACTTCCCAACAAGGACGAGGTAGAGACCCCTGAGCTAAAGGTGAGTTTAACATTCTCATTACTCGTAAATATAACTTTGCTGGTGCATCTCAACTTGTATTAATGCTAAAATATGCAGTTTCAGATTGGAGAACTAGCAAACACCCTAACTAGCAAGATGGAGTTCCTGGGGATAAACAAAAAGACCATCTCAAACTTTCACCTGCTCCTGCTTCAAACCGAGGTGAGAGATGGTCCATGTTCCAGCTCTCATCTGTGACCTTTGAAATATTTAACACGTTCCGTCATAAATTTTGCACAAGCCTGTGTCAGATTTTAATATTTGAACTCCTCATAATAATCCATCACTGGACGTTCCTCTACTGCAATTACTTCTTTCTCATCTTCCTCGTGGCACTTCTTTTTTTAGACACGGATTGCTGATTGGAGGGAAGGTGCTCTGAACGGGGCCTATCTTCGACGCAAGCTGCAGGAAGCTGCTGAACACATAAAATATTATGAACTTAACGCCACCCCTAAAGGCTGGTCCTGCCACTGGGACAGGTACGCGCTCCTTACCTTTCACATCTATAACCTCCCTCGTCCCCCAGAAATCTTACGCTGTCACAACAGCTCCCTCACTCCCCCGCTCTATGCCGAGGTTGCAGCCTTTGTTACATGACTTGGGGGAGAAACTTAACCTGTCCGAGTGGATTACCAGAAATAGACTTCAGGTTTCTGTGGTACAGACCTTAAAGGAGCATCCGCTCTGAGCCACCCTGCTTCCTGTTAACTGGAGCTCCCGCAGAGAGGACTCCATGTCCCTGTTACTGACTGCTCTGCCCGATTCTGGGTTCATTCGGTGAAACATTTGGGAGGGGTGTATGTTAGGGGGGGAAGTTGGTTTCGTGGGAGAGATTTGCACTTTACAGGACTACGACTCCCATGATGCAAAGCAGACAAAGTGAGGCCCGGGGAGCGACGAGTGTCATGCATCAAAGTGTGAAGATGGAGCAATGACGGGAATCCAGAAGGTCAGACCAACTCTATTTTATCTGTCTTCCTGTTTTTCATATATTATTTTGAATCCTTTTTTTGTTGTTGTTGTTGTTATTTTTAATGTAAAATGAATGGATTGTGTTATTTGTTATTTCCTAATGTGTGATGGCTGAACATAATAATGGTGTTTCCTCCCTGGTTTGTTCCTGAATCTGGGAGGGAATGGTTGTCTAAAACAGAGCAAATGTGACAACCATGATGTGAGCTGCTGAAAGCTTCTTTCGGGACCTAGAGATGATTTGTTTTACATTATTTATTCTTTAAAGCAAGGTGGGTCCTCTATCCACACCCATATCGACACCACAATTGGGCCCTTCTCTGGATGGCAAACATTGCTGTCCATTACAAACATTCCTGCTCCCTGTTGTTGCCATTTTGCCTATTTCCTTGCCCCACCGTCACAGGGTGATTATGCCGCTCTGCCAGTTTCAAGGACAGCGGTTGAGACGGTTGTTTTCTATGTCTGTTGTTCCATTCTTTAGAGAGCACAGGCGGTATTTCTATGTGAGGGACCGGACTGGTGCCTCCCAGTGGGAGTTTCCAACAGAGGAGGACAAGACGGAGGACCCGGTAGACACTCCAAGTACACAGAATCTGAACCAAGAGGAGACAAAAACTTCTGGACCAGCTGGTGGGGCTACAGGTCAGCGTTGGCAAAGCATCTAAAGCTCTGTAGAGTTCTGTGCTTGTTTTTCCTACTCGAATATTTTTATTGTGGAACATATAAAATGTTTTAACTTTTTCTAAATTAGGAAAACCTAAAGATTCTGTTCATCTTATGTAAATAACAGCACTGTACAACACTGACATGTTAGGGCTGCAACTAAACAACAATTAATCATTGTGACGATTAATCGGATCAAAGTGGTTTGAATTTGCTCATTCTGCAAATTTTTCATTTAACCACTTTATACAATATTAGAAATACATGTAAAAATGCCAATAAATAATTTAAATCCTTTTAAAGTGTTCTGCATGAAAGTCAAATGGACATCAAAGTCTATCTGCCTTCATTCAATATGTTGCTTTAAACTACATCCGTGACGTCTCCACTTGACTCGTGTTTGTGTTTCTTCTCACTTTTCAACAGAATTCTCGTCTGCTGCTCCACCGCCGCCTCCTCAGCCCAGTGCGTCCTCCTTCTGGTCCCCGTCCCAGCCGCCCCTTCCCAGCAGCCCTCCTCCACCCTCCAACGACCCTCCGCCCCCTCCCCTTCCGCCAGAGTCACCCCCACCCCCTCCACCTCCCCCTGACAGCGATGGAGAGATCATGGAGGTTGAGATGGATGTGGACGACGACAACGAAGACGAGCCCCCCGCTCCTGGAACGGAGGAGGACGGCAGCGGAAGGTGTGGCTCTGTCAACATGAAGGTGAAGGAGAAATCACTTGTTTTTTTGTTTTTTTTATAGACTACTTTACATCTGATAACTAAATAACCTTTTCTTTTTTTTTCTTGATACAGATCATAGAGTCAGCTCCTTGTGGAAAGGGCCTGAAACGGAAAGCTGGTCAGGGGAGTAAAACCGTTACCATTGGCAGCAGTCCCATTCTTTACACTCAGGCTCCAGTTCCTGCAGGTAAACGCAGTACAAATCCTCCACAGTACTTCTCCTCCCAACTTTTAAAAATTTTAATGTCCTTTCCAGTTAGTGTAGTCATTTCAAACGATTCAGCAAAAATCCTTGGGTACCATTCGTCTTTATTCAGCTGAGACCTGAGGTTTTTCATTTTCTGCAGCTCCTCTAATGCCAGCAGCAGCCTACTGGGGTATTCCGGCTGTGGCTGCCCCTCTGATCCCATGCGAACCTCCAGCCCCCCCTGTACCAGTGCTACCTCCTCAGCCACCGCTGCCTCCCTCCCAGCCAGCTTTTGAACCTGCTGCAGCCAAACCTTTACTTGCAGACAAGACCAAGAAAGCAAAAAAGGATAAGGTTGGTGTTACGGGCAGGGAGGAGAAATGGATCACGCTTCCCATCAAATTAAAAACCTGCATCTTGATCTAAGGGCTTTCATTCATCCATCTGCTTGTTAATCTGTCCATATTTCTATTTCGCTGTTCATCCATTCATTCATTTATCAGGCCGTTCATTCACTCATAAGCTACTCCATCCATCTAAATGTTTGTTTGGCCTTTTCTATATACGTTTTGCTCATTTCACCATCAGTTTGTCCATCCTGTTGTCTGCTCATTCATCTGTCCTTTGGTAAATAGAGTCAAAATTGCAATTTTGACTCTATCTTGTCAACTTATTTTGTTTTCTAGCCATTATCCTGACTTTTCCGTTTATTTGTTTCTGTAGCCAAAGAAAAGTAAGACAAAAATGCCTTCACTGGTGAAAAAGTGGCAGAGCATTCAAAAAGAGTTGGACGAAGAAGAGAAGAGCAGCTCCAGTGACGATGACAGAGATCTGCTCAACAAGAAAAGCATCGAGGAGTGGAAACAACAGCAGCTCATGACGTATGTTGCTGTGTTACCATGAGCTTCAATCTGTGCTGGTGGTAGTTTTAATGCTTGCTTTTCTTCATTTTCAAGGGGGAAAGCTTCAAAAAACGCCAACTTTGAGGCACTACCAGAGGACTGGCAGGTCCGGTTGAAGAAAAGGAAGTTGATGAACAGCACGTAACACCTGCCGATTCCCACACGCTGCCCAGGCCGTGTTTGTAAATCCGCTCCTACCTACACCATAAGAACATCCCTCTGACGAGACGCAGATTTGTTTTTACCATCAGTGGAGTTTCTTAGCTGTTCTATGATCATACGAGACATTTTGAAGCCCTTCTATGGCAGGCCATTCTCATCAAGGGGGTTTGAATGTCCTGTTTTTGTACAAGATCTGTAAATGTGCCAAACGTGCTGAGGTAATGGGTTCTCCTTTTTATATAGACACAGCTCAGATGTCCACCAGTTTGATTGGAAGAATTGTCTATTTTCAAGTGTGTTTTTACATGGGGAAGGAAGGAACGGGCCAAATTTGTGAGAAGGAGAGGGATTGTCCCTGGACTTGTACATTTTGTAAAAAAGTTATTAAATTTTTCTTTTTTTTCAAAACTTGCTGTTTATTTTTTTTAAAAAAAGTATTTTGTTAGTGAACAGAATAAGCCAAAAGTTTGAAGGAAGTTTGGAAACAAAATGTTTATTTTCCTTTCTCAGTGCAACGTTTTCCTTTCCTTCCTTTAAGTATATTATTGAGCTTTCCACTCCATTATTTCGTAAAACTTTAAAACAAACAGGTTTAAGGAGTTGAGAAGTTTCCTACTAATCTAATTGCAAAAGTAATTAAAGAAATCTGTTTACTTATGTGATGTAGTTAAAGAAGAAGAAAAAAAAACTGACCATGTTTTAGCTGCCAGGTACAGCCAGGGCTAATGTAGTTTTTGAACCTGCTGCTGTACTTCCGGCTTGTGCTTCGCGACATTAGTGAGGTTTGACCGCCCGTCTCCATGGAGAACACGGTGTTTTGCTACTTCGTTGCCTAGCACCGTTGGGATTAATTTTCTGGGTGTTTTCAGTCCCACGGAGCGTTTAAGGAAAAATATGCCCACCGAGGTAAGTTGCTACGAGATTGTGAAAGTCAACTTCTGCTTCGTTTTCTTGGCCCGAGTTTAACAAAAAAAAAAAAAAAAAAATGTTAGCTTTACCGGAGAAATCAGTGGGAAAGAACTGATTTCCTCGAGCTAATGGTTCTGATAGGCTTACATTTATAAATGTATTCGTTGAAACATGGCGGCGGTGGAAGGTTTTGTGTTTCTCGCTGAAATATTCGCGGTCGAGTGTTTTAACGAGTTTCCCCAAATTTCAGCTGCGATACAGAAAGAAGAATGTAAACAACCCCCACTGCGTCTTAAACAGCATCCTGAGCTACTGTGTACCTGGCTGTGATTTTTGCAATTGTCCACCAGAAACGAAGCTTCGTCTACGAAAGCAAAGTTTACACATTTGCAGTGTTCTCACCCCCAACGTTCTCGCGTTTCAAAACTGACGCCATAGTGGGATTTCTATGCAATAGACTGACGCAAAGTGCCAGTGAACATCGGAGGGCTGTTGGGGGACAAACCTTTGCAGGATGTATTCCCAAACATTAATGATTAATTGGAGACAAGACTGCGCATTAATAAGGGTTCTTTATTAACCAGACCACCCACAAGAAAAATAATCCAAACTGCCAGCAGATGGCGGTGTTACCCCGTGATAATTACTCAAAATAGTCCAAATTGCAGTTTCAGATGTGTTTAAGAAAAGACGGAGAGCCCATGGTTGACTTGTTTTGCCTACGACAGTTTTCACATAAGTTTGTAGGTCTTTTTTATTATCATTATCTTAAAATAGGTATAGATATTAGTGTAAATGTTAAAGACTTGGGTTGGAGCAGAAAGACTTCATGAACTGACTAGTAAAACAATACTATTGTGATGGAACGCAATAAAAATAAATAAAAAAATCTTTTGTGTCTTTAACTATTCATTGTCCCATCAGCTCTGACCTGCTCCCCTCTCCCCTAATGAAGAAAATAATTCATTCAGCAAAATGCAGCTGCACACACGTCTCACTGTGAGAATAGTGTATTCAGGGTCGTATGCAGTGTTAGGGTTTAGATGTAACACAACCTAATTTTGTGCTTAGTTACCTTCTGAAATATACATAGTGCTCTCTTCTTGAGAATAATGGAGGACCATAAGGACATATTTGCACTTATGCATGGAAACATTTAAGCTTACTAGTGAACTGATATTCTCTAGCAAGAAAGTCTTTCTCACTAAAAGAGAGCGATATACAGACGCTTGTGTGAGAAGTAAGCAGTGTGGCGTTCAGTCAATGAGGTCTTTTTTTCTGTAAAAAACGCCCCCCAAAAACTGGAGGTCTTTATTTGAAGGTGAAAGCAGCACACACTGGTTGTATAATTCCTTTCATAAAATCTGACTGAAATCAACAAAGTTTGATGGCGATTTTATTTACAGCCAAAGACAAAGAGAACACCAGGCGCCATCATCAGGAGTTTATGGAAAACCTGCAAGACTTTGGGTCCTGACGAATCCAACTCAGAGAAAACTGAGGATGACTTATCGGAGAGGACGCAGTGTAAGCAACCTTTAAGTTATGTGTGTACAGTTTGCAACTAATAGAATTAATGAAGTAAGTGAGAGAGGCTAGAAGAATGTGCTACAGCACTTTGACCAAGATAACAAGTTATTCGATGTGACTCATCTTCCAGCAGTATGCATGAATCTGAGTCAGACTCTTGGGACAACGCAGCTGCTCTTAAACTTCCATGGTGGTCAGCCAGTTTTCATTCTAAAGCCACCGTCTGATCTGGTTAACTTCCCTCGCCCCCGATGGCCAATAGAGTGTGAAGTCATCAGCGACAGCATCCAGCACATAGGTCACATTTCACTCTATTTGACTTTTACCTATTGGTTGGATGGAGACCTGTAATTACTCAGAAAGGGATTGTTTTTTAGTTTTTTTTTGTTTGTTTGTTTTTTATTTTCAGAATGGGAGCCACCAGAGCCAGAGCCATTTTATAAGCCCTCCAACAAGGAGTCCTTCATTCCAGCTGAAGATAGGCCAGGGAATGTGGTGTACTGCTCGGACTTTGGTAACTATTGGTTTGGTTTGGACAGTCATTATAACACCTAAGAACATAATACCAGACAGTTACACACACTATTAAATCACACATAACAACTTTCACGACAGAAAAATTAGAAAAATTTTCAGTGATTATGATGACTTTGAATCGTTTTGGAAACCGCTATGATTATGTCATTTGGTCACAAACTTCTGATTGGCCACTTTAAACTCGAGTCGAATGGAGGCACATGTGAGTAGATTTTTAATATGTTCGTTGCCTGTTTTTCATGCATTTGGCAAATTGCATTTAGCAAATAGAAACAAATGATCCAAAATAGGAACACCGTAAAGTAATTTAATCTCTATGAGAAACAATGAGAAAAAATAAGGATGTTTGTGTTTTTAAACATTGTATGCAAATATCTTTCTAATGCAGAGACCCCATATAACCCAAGGGCCAAAAGCAGTCATAGGACAATTTCTATCAAGTCTTTACTTTCCTCAAAGCAAAATAAAATGACAAAATAAACCAAATGAGATTCTTGAACCTTCTTGCAAATAAAATCCTTCTAAACTCAGCTAATTGGAAATGTTAAAGGTTTTGAAATAAAGTGGGATTCTGGTTAATAATAGCTTCTTATGAGCAAAGCAGATTGCCATCTTTAAAAAAGAAAAAAAGAAGGAGTGCTATCTTTTAATGTAAAAAAACAACCCATCTTTCAAGTTCTACATGCTACAGAGCTTTGCAAAAGTATTTGTACCCCTTGAACATTTTTCACATAGCAACCTCAAATGTTAATGCATTTTTAGGAGGGGGATTTTTGCAATAGATCATTCATAAACCATGCAGAATTTTGAGATGGGGGCAAAATAATAAACTATTTTCTAAATACATTTTAATTCTGGTTGTAAATAATGTAGAAATGTTCAACAAGGATGAGTTCTTTCTCAAGGGGCTTTACATTGTCTCATTATCAATTTATTTTACAGAACGCCATCATTTTTTAATTCTCTGTTTCTTTTGTTCTTATCTTTCTTAATTATTTAAGCCACAAAGCATTTATATTTCACCTGCTCTCGTGTTGGAGGAAGCAGGGGCTCCACCAATCGTGCCAAGTTTATTGTCACACCCCCAGATATTACTCTTGAATTTGAATCGCGCTTCGAAAGCGGCAACCTTCAGAGGGCTGTCCAAGTGTGAGTCTCTTCGATCTTGGCTTATTTTTGGCCGTCATCCAGCTTTTATCTTTTACCCCCGAATGTTTGTATCAACGTGGCAGCAATTGAACTCTGTGTTCTCGTTTTTCTTGCTTGTTCAGGGGCGCCTTCGACTATGAGCTCACACTGCGTACAGACATGTACACCGAGAAGCACACGCAGTGGTTTTACTTCAGGTTGAGGAACATGAAGGCTAAAATGTTGTACCGCTTCACCATAACCAACTTGATGAAGGCGAGCAGTCTGTATTCCCTCGGCATGAAGCCGCTCCTGTACTCTGAGAGAGCGGCTAACGAGCACGGAGTCGGTTGGCATCGAGCGGGATCCAACATCAGATACTATCAGAACTGCAGCGAGGTAGCATCAGGATCCGCTTTCGGACCTCTTAATGTTTGCAAATTCTGTTACATTACATGGCGACAAGAAATAGCACGTATTTAAATGAAGTTTAAAAGAATGAAGTCTTTTAAACTTCATTCTAGAATTGCCCTGTTTGAGTAACATGGTGTGTCTTAATGGTGCTTCTGGGCAGGACGCAAACGAGAACAGCGATGCCGGAGTCCGCCTGTACTCGCTCACCTGGACTCTCCGGTTCCCCTATGACTCAGACACATGCTACCTGGCCCACTGCTACCCCTACACGTATTCACGACTGCAGTACTACCTGAAGCAGATAATCTCCAATCCAGCAGTAGCATCTTACTGCGAAGTGCGGACGCTGTGCCAAAGTCTTGCAGGGAACGCCGTTTATATTATTACCATCACATCCAGAGGGACTAGCCCTGAGGAGGTGAGAAACAAGAAGGCCGTGGTAGTGACAGCGCGAGTCCATCCGGGGGAAACCAATGGATCCTGGATGATGGAGGGATTTTTAGACTTTCTCCTCGGAGACTCAGATGATGCTCAAGTTCTCAGGGATAACTTTGTTTTCAAGGTGCACAATTCATTTCTACCAGCTGTAATCCAGTTATTCCAAAATGCTTTGAAACGTCTCAGTTCTCATTTTTATGTTTTTTTTTTATGTTTTCCCTCCCCCTCCCCCCACTGAGTTAATTGCAGGTTGTGCCAATGTTGAACCCAGATGGTGTTGTGGTCGGAAACTACAGGTGCTCACTGGCAGGCAGGGACCTTAACAGAAACTATAAAACGTTGCTGAAGGACTCTTTTCCATGTGTTTGGCACACCAGGAACATGGTTGAAAGGTAATAATGCAAACGGGGCCCCCAAAATACAATATTAAATGCATTGGGGAAAACATGTTCTTCAGAAGCCTGGCATTTCTGTTTAGAATATCCCTCTTTCATTAATCACAAGTGTATTTTTTCCAAGACACAACATTTTGGGTTTTCCTGAGCCATAAGCATCTAAATTAAGGAATAAAGGATGGAATTATTCCACTCCGAATGAAATTAAATGAAAACCCATTTATTTTAAGAATGATGTCATTAAATGTTAACATTTGAAAACCTTCATTTCTGTTAATTATGATTCTCCACGTGCAACTAATGAAAACATGGCATCAAATTAGAATATCACATCACAGCAATAGAAAAATTATATTTAAAAACAAAAATCTGGGCGTAACAATAAATATGTTTAAAACCTGCTTAAAAGTTGTTGTTTTCAACATTTTTAATATGACAAGCAAGATTCTTGTGAGATGTATGTTCTAATTAATTTAATATGACTGTATACAATGATTTCTATTTTCTGAAATGAGGGAACATATATTTAAGCTTTTCCACACATTTCAACTCAACACAGAAGTCATGATTAAATTCTAACAGAACTTAAAAATAGGTCTTCAGCCCAGCGTGAATTTTATGGTGCATTTGAGCCCAGTCTCTTAGTGATTTGGGGTTTTTGTATGTTTATTTATGTTCTTCTCTCTTGTTCACTGATTAGCCTCTATGTATTTTATGCCGCCTGTGTTCCTTGTTTTTTTTTTTTTTTTGTTGGGTTCTTGTCGTAAGCTGTCCAGTTGGCTGTCAGCTGTGTTTGCTGTCCAGTTTCAACCTCCTCTGAGCTTTTAACGTTTGCTCTCCTGTGCTGCCTGGACTTTGGATTGTTGTGTCCATCTTCATTAAATCATTTCATTCTGCATACCTGTGTCCACGGCGTCTTCCTCGCCACCAGCTACCACATTTCATGACAAATCTATTATGAACGTCTTCCAAACCGTTCCTGTTTTACTATTCTCTCTCTGTAGGCTTATGGCTGAAACAGAAGTAGTTCTTTACTGTGACTTTCACGGCCACAACCGCAAAAACAATGTGTTCATGTATGGATGTGACAGCAACAACAAGCTGTTCAAGTTACAAGAGAGGGTCTTTCCGCTAATGATGAGCAAGAATGCAAGTAATAAGGTAACTTTATGAATATTTCGGCAGAGTCATAGGAAAAAAAAGCTTCAAACGCAGCAAACATATTTCTTGGTATTTGTGATTCATCTGAGGAAAGTATGTTCAGTATCAACATCTAAATCATTCTCTCAGTTCTCCTATAGGAGCTGTAGGTTCAAGGTGCAGAAGAGCAAGGAGGGAACAGGGCGGATCGTCATGTGGAGACTGGGCATCAAGAACAGCTACACCCTGGAGGCCACCTTCGGAGGATCCACCCTGGGTAAATATGGGCTTCCCGTATGTTTTCATGCATTCACAGATGTGCATGTTACACAAGGTTCTGCAGTATTTTCTACTGTCACTTTAGATGACAGAAAAGGGACCCATTTTACTACTGGAGATTTGAAGTCGATGGGCTTTTATTTCTGTGACACCCTGCTGGACTTCTGTGACCCTGATCAAACAAAGGCAAGAAATGAAGCAGAATACACTTATGTAGAAACATGGACTGCTAATGTACTAATGTAAATGTCAAAGTGTGCCTTGTAAAGGTGTAAACATCCCTTAAACTCTTAATCATTATTCATATTACAACCATATAGTCACTGAGTTCTGCTGGTACTTCAAACTTTTAGAATTTTTTGCATTTGAAAACCTTTTGAAAACCTGAACTAGATATGAGTTGTTTTGTGTTTGTGCATAACATAAAGTCCCAATGCATAGATGAAGTTTGGTGTCTGATCAAGACCAAATCAGGTAAAGTTGAATGGATATGTGCACTTCTGAAGGGCCCTGGAAATGACCAACAGATATAGTTTTGTTTTTCCTTTTTCATTCTGACTTTAGGTGGTTCACTGTTCAGCAGAGGCTGCAGCATTATTGAAAATGGAGCTCAAGAAGAAAATTAGCAAGAATCTGGATACCGATGGCAGCTTTTCTATGTCTGACCTGGAAACCAGGTGATTTTATGATATTAAACCACAGGCAACACTTGGCAAAAGGGTTTCGTAAATGTGAATTGTGCTCTCATTTAGCTTGTTTTTTTTTCTTGCTTTTTCAGCACGAGTGGCTCCAATAGTTCAGATTCAGACGGACTTCCAGTTCATTTACTGCACCAGCAAAGAATTCCAGAGGTATCCCGACAAATTCAATTTATTGGGACTGAAGTCTAGTTTTAAATATCTGAGCAACAGCGTACAGGCACTAAAGTTTGGTTTGAATCACATTTGATCAATTTCTCACACATGCACCTCCTCTCTCTCCCTCTTTTCTCTCTCTCTCTCTTTTTGTCTCACTCTTTCTTCCTTTCAGAAAACTCATTTTAAGAAGAAAAAGAAAAAATTAAAAACTCGTAAGGAAAGAGACAGACTCCAACCAAGCCGTGTGAGCAGTACGTCACTGAGAAAGGTTCTGGAGAGCCGCAGATATACTGTAAGGCTTATTATGCTGAATTATTTTAACTTCTTAATGTGTTCATAACTTCCTTTAAGGGTCATTAGTAAACTGTTTTTGCAGGAGTGCTGTATTTCTCCGGAAAAGATGGACGAAGTAAGAAGCCAAGAGAAACCTCTTGGAGGACAAAAGGGAGGAAAGGTCAGGTTTGAGGGATAGAAGTATCCAGATCACTAAGGTGTGTAATCTTGAAAATTGAGAGCTGTGTTTTTTTTGCACATAAAGCAGAATGACCTGAAGGGAGGATGCGTAGTCTCATTTCCAACCAGTCATCCTGAAGAGGTCAGCCAGGGAACACTGGCAAGTCAAAGATCTCAAACTCTTGACACCCGATTGTCTTCTTCTTTCTGATACTATTGCTCACTCTTAACTTTACAATTTTGAATTATTTCAAAAGTCACATTGTGTTTTAGGAGGACGGTCAGGACAACGACTGCATCTCAGCCATCCGCCAGAAATTGAAGCAGGCGTATGAAAGCACATCGTACATGACGCCTCCATCGGGTACTGCTACTTCTCATAGACTCCAGATGAAGCAAGTCTTTTAGAATGATTCAGGAGACTGAAAAGGTTCTCTGGTAAGGATTCGTATATCTTACTTGCTTCGCAGGTGATGAAGCGGTTGGCAATAGACAGGTGAGATGCAGCTGCCCCCCTTTCACTCCGAAGGTCCCTCCGTCACGTCCTCCTGTCCTCATGCAGCACTACACGCCACCTTTGTCTTCTCAACAAGGTAGCAGTGGAATATGTGGATGTTTAATGTCACGCTTTTCAGTTGTAGTTATTTGGTAGTAAATTGTTTTTGTGCTCTTTTAGGGCCGACATTCTTTGTAGCTCCACGGAGGTAAGCCACACAGAGGAGTTATGTTTTTGAACGACACCGGATGTTGAATGTGTTCGTTTTTAGGGGTTCGTGCCTCCTCTTTGGCAGGATTCCTCCATCTGGGTTTATCAGAATTGCTCCACCCGATCCTGGGACTTCATCCATTTCCACATCCAGCAATCACCGTGTTTTCAAAGACAAACAAGTACAGTGGGTCTCGGGTAATTTTCCATCTAAGGGTTTCTCCACATCGGTCTCAGACATAAACAGAATCCGCCGCAGAGAAGGGATCCTAAAGGATTCATCTGAAGGTTCATCCTAATATTTTTTTTTTCTTTAAAGTGCCGGTCAAATTTATTAGTACCTTTGGTAGAGATATGCCACATTTCTTTACGAGGGTAAAATCCCATGTTAATTTTTTTGTTTTTGTTTTTACAACCCCAATTGCAATGAAGTTGGTATGTTGTGTAAAACATAAAGTGGGACAGGAGCAACACTTTCCAAAACCTGGAAAGAACATGAGAGATTATCAAAATTCAATGTTGTGCATTAAGAAATTGTCAGAGATTTATCTTTCAGTCTACTTTAGCCTTTTGAACCAATACATAGGACACATTGCTGTCCCATTGACCCAGGCTGCCAAATATTGTCCCACTGTCAACGTATGTAAAATTAATTATTTATAAACATGACATTCTTCCCCATTGAGTGATTGTTCCCAATTTAAAGTTTGAAAACCTTTGAGATTTGCGGTGCGAAATTATGCGAAACATTTTTACCAGGGCTGCCAATAAATATGTCTGGCACTGTATTTAATTCAGTTGCTAATTTTGTTACCTTGTTTTATTGTTATTACTTTAGACCAAAACATAATTCTATACCTTTTAGCCAACATCTCCTTCGATATATTCTAATTTCCAGTGAATCCATCTTCGTTTTCCCCTGTCATGGGCAAAACCAAAGGGCTCTCACAACACTGGAACCCCCTTGAGAGAAAGTGAGGTATTCAACAATTTATTTGAGCCTGAGCAGAAGCAAAAGGAAAAACTTTAATCTGTAATCTATGTGAACTCCCTGCGATCTGCCTCCTATGACCTCAATAAAATACTTTATTTGCATTTGTTGTGGAAAACATAAATATGTTCCCACACATCCTTCGGTCTCTTCGTCGTGTAACTTGTCCAGAGAGTTTTTAAAAAATATAAATACAAAAGCTTACTATCAATACATTAACAGTAGTCAGCCTGAATGGATGGATGGTTGACAAATGAAATCGTAAAAACAGAATCACTCTGATTCTCTGTCATAGAAACAGAGTGTTAGAAAAACAGATTGATGCATGGAATAATGAGATGATTACGACCCATAATAAACAGATGGATGATGGATAGACAGACGACTGATTGAAAATTTGATGGATGGCTGGAACGTTTACATAGAATGACGAGGAATACAGCCTGGAAACAGAATATTAAACTAATCCTGAATTCATTCAATATTTTTACTTTTCAAAGTTACTGATGCCAGTTCAAAAATAAGAAGGATTTTGGATCTAGAACCGATTCCTTCAGGACTACACAAAGAAAATACAACCAGCTCTGAATAAAATACAAAAATAAATATTTTATTTAAATATAAATCATATGAAAATATCAACCACTTGAGACATGTTAAGTCCTTTTTTTATATCACCCTTAGTGTTTGAGAGATGTGCAGAAAGAAGGCATCCTTGTGACTCATAGCACACCAGAACAGACGTGGATGTCTGAGCCTCCGAAGTCAGTCAAACTGTTGGAGATGAAACTGGCTCCCTGTGTGTCTAACCATGTTCCGCAGCGCTGCAAAACCAGAGGCAGCCTGGATCAGCGAGGAGAGCGAAATGCAGGTCACTCAGTGACAATTGTTGGATACCAACATCACAAAAACATATGCTGCATAACATGTTTTAACATAAAACTGTAGACTATGGTAGTCCAGTTTTGCCAAGCGGACACCCATACCTGTATGAGAATGAATACGGTGAGCACTATGTGGACGCCCCTCTCCAGAGGCTGGACAAGAATGGCTTCGTTAAACAGCTGGAAAAGGATGAGGGGAAGCTGCAGAAGGATGGTGAGCAACCAAAAGCCTGCCAACTCTGGAACCTTTGAAAAATGTTAAAAAAGATATGAATTTCACCGTCCAAGCAACTATCACAGCTGCACAACATATCGCAATATTAGTGTGTGCACTGTTTATGTCGCAAAGGGCTGTTTGGAGCGCAATAATGAATGAAGGATGAATATATTCAAGATGTTATAAGATGTAATTATTATTTGGCCAGTTTGACAGTTTTTCGACAGCTAATATTCACACTGGACACAAACGGCGCTGCCCAACATGCTCGAATGTCAGATTGATAGAAGCACAAGTGAGAAACAGAAGAAAAGAAAATGGAAGCATATTTCAATCTTTACCAAATATCGCCAACATAAGATTTTCTATTGTGCAGCCCTAACAACAATCAGCAGGCTTTGAATGGGTTTTAAAATGATAAGTGTCTCACCTTTTCTTGCAGGTTCCCAGCATATCCCAGATAAAGTCTGATGGCCTCAATAAGAGTCATCAGCAGCAGAACAGTCACAAGGATGAACTTGTAGTACTCCGGCAAGGCAGGGTACTGATGGAAACGACAAAAAAACATTTATAAGATGGGGTTTGTGTGTGTGTGTGTGATTTCGCTGAAATCATTAAGTTCTTCTTCGAGTCGAATTCAAAATAATACATATTTTAGCAAAAGATCACACTGTTGCTGATTTAGCTGAAACATAACAGCAGCAGCATAACAACTGAAGGGACTTCAGGTGAACTGGGTGACATCCTAAACACAGCCACTTACATGATGCAGATGTTGCGCATCAGTAACACCGGTTTGTCTCTTTCCTTCATACCTTGAGATGCAGCATAACGGACTCGCTGACCCACCAGCAGGGGAAGAACCACATGTTAAAGTACAGCGACATCTGCAGCTGGAGGCTGGACAGGACTGGTTTGTCTGAAAAGATCAAAACAACAACGATGACGAACCGCAGAACGTCCTCGATGTTTTTTTTAACATCCAACTTTACTAGCAAAAGGAAGGGGAAAAATAATGCCGCGCCACGCACGCAGCTGCACCGATGCTAACATCTGTGCTAACTCTTGTGTCTGGAAAAAGTGAGATGCCGCATCGTTTCCGGGTCTACCGTGAGGCAGGGATCCGTCGCTTTCTCCGGGGAACGTCACGGTTCGTCTCTGGTCAAATAAGATATGACGAGAAAAGTCGTCTAAGCGCTTTCTGATGGTCTCCGGGAGCTCCATCTCCTGGCTAAACGCAACAGCAGAGCCAGAGGCAGGAAAACACTCCGCCGCTTCCTGGTGAACAGGACGATGGGAACCGACGCTGTTGCCACGGTAACCTGGAACACGCTCTGCGCTTTGATCAAACTCTTATTTTGTTTTAGTCCTGATGACGACTCTTAAATTATGAGGGGGAAATGTCAGTCTTGCAGGACTAAAAATGATTAGCAGTTTTGGTGATGGAGACAGTGGACGTCATTTAGTGCAGTAGGGAAAATGACATAAAGTGAAGCTTCATATTTATTGTGCTTCTCTCTCTAAATATATGCTTGGAGGTGTAAAAACCTGCGGCTCTTCCCTGCAGCCACAGACTCTGTGTGGGCTTGTAAACATACTGGGACCTGCAGATGCAAATGAGGGTTCTTATGAGGGCTGTGTGTAGCTGAATGAAACTCGTGGGAGAAGTAATTTATCATGATCAGAAAGTACCTTAATAGACTGAGGTATGTAGATTAGTCAAAATTATAAGAAATAAATACATAAAAGTTCAATAAAGGAAAGAAAGAGGCTTTCGTTCTGTCCCACTTTCATTTCAGAGAAAGTGAAAGCTCCTGAGTGGCAGTGCTTGATATGTGACCCCTTACGGAAAGTGAAACTTACCAAACGCAGTGAAGAAGATGGCAGCTCAAAGAACAGCCTGTTCTTTGAGCTGCTCTGTATGCCTGGAGGTGTTGAGGAAACCTGTGACTCTTCCTTGCGGCCACAGCTACTGCATGGACTGTGTGAGCGACTACTGGGACCTGGAGGACCAGAAGGGTGTCTGCAGCTGCCCTCAGTGTAGACACACTTTCAACTCAAGGCCTGTGCTGAACAAGAACACGGTGCTGGTTGATTTGATCGAAAACATGGCTGAACCAGAGAGAACCACCCCTTTGTGTGAGAAGCAAGCTAAACCGAATGAAGTGGAGTGTGATTTCTGCACTGCGAGGAAACTGAAGGCTGTCAAAACATGTTTGGTGTGTCTTGCTTCTTACTGCGCCACACACGTCCAGCCTCACTATGAGTCTGCAGCTTTCCAAAGGCACAAGCTGGTGGAGGTCTCAGGCTCCATCCAGGAGAAGATCTGCTCTAAGCATGACAAGCTGCTGGAAGTGTACTGCCGCAGTGACGATGAGTGCATCTGCCTGCTCTGCGTCATGGATGAGCACAAAGGTCATGACACTGTCTCAGCAGCAGCAGCCAGAAAAGAGAAACAAGTAAGAACAGCAATTATTATTAGCTATCATTATTAGTGATAATAAAGCCTTCTGTTAGTTACAAAAATACATACAATATTGCATTCTGTTTATCTAAATTAGTTTAAGTGACCATTAAATGTGTTCTTAGAAACTATTTGGAGAGAAGAAACAAAGAAATCAGCAAAGAATTGGAGAAAAGGCGAAGCAGGTGCGACAGCTGGGACAGAAAATGAAGGCATTAAAGGTGACTTTCTTTGTCTCTCTTGGCTTAACATATTTCCATTGAAATAGTTCGTAGTCTATTTTTTTGATGGTGACTGCTTTCAGCTTTCCAGAGATGCAGCACTTGACCAAAATGAGAAGATCTACGCTGAAATTGTCTCGATGGCAGATAAAAGACGTTCGGTTGTGAAGGAGCTAATCGAACATCAGGAAAATGCAGCCTTCGGTCAAACGGAAACGCTCATCGGTCAGCTTGAGAAGGAGATCAGAGACCTGAGGGGGAGAGAGGATGACTTGAGGAGGCTGTCTTCAACCGAAGACAACATTTACTTTTTGCAGGTGAGCAGATAAATGCGCAGATTCTGCAGTTTGCACAGAACGCATGGCAAAAGTAGAGTTTTCACTCTGTGTCCTGTTATGACATATGTGTTTTACAGGGATTTTCTACAATAAACCGACACAAATAAGTGCATTGCTGTCAAGTTGAAAATCAATTATTCGTTTATTTAAATCAACAAATAGAAATGTAAATCTGGTTGCATTTGTATTTAGGGGCTACATTATGGGTCAGTGTTAAGCACTAAAAGACTTTTGAAAAGCATTGCATGATGCCGTGTTTTTGTTTTCGTGCTTCTCCAGCACTGCAAGCGGATTTTTAATGGCACAGAACCTGAAGTGAGCCTGAACATCAACCTTCAGCAGTGCCTGGCCTTTGATTGTGTGACAAAGGCCATATCAGACTTGAAAGACAAAATGGAAATGTTGTCAACAGCTATTAAGAAAATATCAAATACCAGTAAGAACCCAACAGAATACCTAACACTTTTACATGTAGTGTGTGGTTGTGGGATATCGTGTCTTTTTTCTGTTTTCAGTTGAAACCGTTCCAGATCCGCTGACAAGGCAGGAATTGTGCATGTGTAAGTTATTTATGTTACATTTTCAAAATAGCCTTTGTGGATCCGTATTGACCAAACTAAATGTTGTTTTAATTTTTTTGGACACTTAAGATTCCTGTAGCTTGAGTTTGGATCCCAACACAGCCTTTGAGAACCTGCTGCTCTCTGAAGAAAACACCAAAGTCACTTGGACCAAGAAAGCCCAGGAGTATCCCTATCACACAGAGAGATTTACCAAATATGATCAAGTGTTGTGCTCCGAAGGTTTGTCTGGGGTTTGTTACTGGGAAGTTGAGTGGAAGGGGCCCAGAGTTGAGATGGCGGTGTGCTACAAAGGGCCAAACATGAGAGAAAGCTGCTTTGGATACAACGACCAGTCCTGGAGTGTTTCCCTTGCAAATTCTCGATGTACTTTTTGGCACAATGAAATGATCATCAAAATTCCCAACCCATGTTCTTCCAGAATGGGGTTGTATTTGAACCATAAAGCTGGAATCCTGTCCTTCTACAGTGTGTCTTGCTCTGAACAACTGGTGCTCCTCCATAAAGTTCAAACCACTTTCTCCCAGCCTCTATACGCTGGGTTCATGGTGTCCAAAGGAGCTTCAGTAAAGATAATCAAGCAGTTGCAAGCCTGCTTGATTTAAATAAGTAAGTTGCAAGATTCATACATTTAACTGAAAACATACAATTAGATAGAGAGTTAATTGTATGTTTTACAATTAACATACAATTAACAATTTACATTATTTCTCGCTGTAAAGAGAAATAATGCAAATTGTATGATTTGAGTTATGTAATTACCATTACTCTGCCATTGTATTTTAGTATACTTCAGAGGCACTCAATGCACAAGCAAAACATGAAAAAAATTATTATATGGGAATTGTACCTGAATTATATTGTGTAGATCCAGTAATGTCAGGATACAATGAAGACATGTAGAACTTTACTCTCACCTGACATTTCCCTCGTTTGCAGCTGCATTGAAACTGTGCTTAACTTCCATTACTGTTCACCCTGTAGCTTCATTTAGATTTTTGTTAGATTTGTACCAAATCATTTCTTGTCTGTTTTGAACCACAATAAATGAAACATTGACCAACATATTTGATTTGTAAGATTTTATTTAATTTTTTTAATGATGGCACTCATCAAAATATGTTTGTTCAATTGTTGACTGTGTGGTGTTTTTCTCATAGCTTTGCAATGTTCTGTTTTTATTATGTAAAGCACCTTGGACTGACTTGCTGCTGAAATGTGTTATGCAAATAAGCTGCACTTGTTCATCAGTCAATGATAACAGTTCACTATCCGTCATTCTGACATTCTAACTACATCCAACCCAGTATATACTGTTGGATCACTGACTAATTCTCAAAAAATTGAGTATTAAAGTTGAATAACAGTGTTTATGTTTAACTGGCCTTCAGGGTACATTAATTTGATAGCCTACCATATACAAGAAATTGATTACAAGTGACATTTTCTGCATAAACACATAATATTGCATTTCTTGAGTTGTATTTTTGAATACTACTGGAATTTTGGTGTGTCTCTTTAAGACAAGACAAAAGTCCCACCCTCCTAGATCACAAGGTCAAAGGCCACTCCTTCATGAAAGGAACTGAAATGCCAATAAAAAAACAAAAGAAGGAACTGGGTGTAACAGGTTTGAGGAAAATGGCTTCCAGTCTGGACCTGTTTGATTGCTCTATTTGTCTACAGCTGCTGGATGAACCTGTGACTACAGCCTGTGGACACAGCTTCTGCAAGAAGTGCATCAACACTTTCTGGGACACGGGACGAAACCTGGAGGGAACATACACTTGCCCTCAGTGCCGGACAGCTTTCAGCCCGAAGCCTGCTCTTCAGAGAAACACGGTCTTGGCTAATCTGTTGGAGGAGCACAAGAAGAAAGCCGGTCAAAGCGCTGCTGGGGGTCAAAGTGCTGCTGGGGGTCAAAGTGCTGCTGGGGGTCAAAGCGCTGCTGGGGGTCAAAGCGACGCTGCTCTACCCGGGGACGTGCCGTGTGACGCCTGCACTAAGAGAAAACAAAAAGCAGAGATGTTTTGCCTCACGTGCCTGGCCTCCTTCTGCGAGACACATCTGCAGCCTCATGTCCAACTTCCGGTACTGAAGAAGCACAAGCTGATTCGGGCCTCCGTGGGAGTCAAGGAAAGCGTCTGCTCCCGTCACTACAGACGTTTTGAAATGTACTGTCGCACCGACGAGCAGCTGGTGTGTCCGCTTTGTGTGATGCAGCACAAAAATCATGACATTGTGGAAGTCACAGCAGAAGTCAAAGCAAAGCGGGTGATTTCATTTATCCAAAAGCTAAAGTTCTATTTCATTATTATTATTATTTTTTTTTTTATGACTGTTTTTAAATGAATGCCTTTATAATTTGGCGACTTGCTGTTTTAACAGGAGAAGCTGGAAAGAGCCCGAAAGACAATCGCAGACACAGTTCGGGTTTCGCACTGTGAAATGGGACAGCTAGAGGAAGCAGCAAAATCTATTAGAGTGAGTGTTGTAAATAAGCAAAAAAAAAAAAAAAACACCCGAAATGTGAACTTCACTCTCTGGCTTTTCAGCCGATCACTTGTATATTGTTGTGTATGCCTGTGTTGAACCGGGATCTGAAAACATGAGCAAATGAATTTGTTGAGTCACTTGCTGTGTGTGAGAATGCCTCACAACATGTGTGAAGTATGTGAACATGTGGTGAACATCTGGTAACGACATGGAGAGCAACACTTTTGTTCTCGTCTTCCTTACAGTAGACGAACGAGCAAATTGTTTTACAACTTAACTTTATCAAAAAAATGATGTGTCTCAGTTGTAGTCTGAACTCTGACATTTTGACTTCCCAGTTGAATAAATCATCTAGAACACCCGCCGAAGACAGATTTTCCACTGGGAACACGGGATCGTCTAGCTACCCAAATACGTCTTGACTCACTTTGCAGCTTGATATGGCAGCTCCTTGCGTCAATATTAGAAATATGTGGCTGGAAACATGTTTCTTTCACAAAACACACACCTGAGTGTGCATCTAAAGTCAATGTAGCACTTACTAACTGAACATATGCTGTATGTCTATGGAAAGTTAAGCTTAAAACGATGTTCGTGACAGGCGCCATGTCGAAATCCGTGTATGTAAACTGGAATGATTAACCAGTCGTGGCATCGAACTCAACTCCAAGTTCTGATGTTGCAAGGTTAATGGAATGTCTACTGTGTGTTTTGTTCCAATGCGCTCCTGACTAACCTTACCCCAAAACCCCCCAAATCTTACTGTGACTGAAAGTCATGACGAATGACTGGTGTTTGTTTTCCACAAGGATGCTGCTTGGGAGTCAAGTGACAACTTTGAGCAGCGATGCACCGAACATCTCCGTTTATACGCTCACTTTCTGGAAAAGAAATGTATTGAGATGAGAGGCAAAGTTGAAGAGATGGAGAAAGCTGGAGTTGACTGGACTAACGGTCACAGAGCACGACTGGAGCATGAAGTCCATAAACTGAAGGAAACGGATCATAATCTCTGCCAGCTTGCACAAACAAATGATCCCATTCAATTCCTAAGGGTGATTCCTTTGTTTCATTTTCTCTTTTTTTTTATTGTTCTTGTTTAATGTAAGACTGTTGGGATTGTGCATTTGCTTGCCTCTTGCAGGATATTCAAGCTGTGGGTGGCCTCCCAGAGTGTTCAGGTTCACATGAAGGACTGGTGCCTCTGAAAGAGTTTGTGTCTGCAAAAACCACCCAATTAAAAAGCATGTGTGACAAACAGAATGTACAATTATTTGGCCATTTTATGGATAATATAAGTAAGTTGGGTATTTTGTTTTCATTATAATTGCAGATTTTCTGAGTTTGAGAACATTATTTTCTTTTACTCCACAGTGTTGTGTATTCCCAGACGGCTTCACATCAAACCAACATCAAGAAAAGACATACTGGCCAAGTTTATATGTAAGTAGAACAATAAATATATTTCTATAGAAAGTTTCAGCCTTTGAGTGAGTGAATTTGTCTTGCAGCTCCTACGCTGGATCCTAACACGGTGCATCCGTGTCTATACATGGCAAACACCAAGAGAGAGCTATCATGGGGAATAACAGGCCAGGCTGATCCTGATCACCCTGACAGATTCTCCCACTTTTACCAATCGCTGTGCCAAGACGACCTTCAAGAAAACCACTACTGGGAGGTGGAGTGGGACGGTGGCATCATTGAGGTGGCAGTGTCACATAAAGGCATACAAAGGAAAGGGCAGGGTAAAGACAGCTGCTTCGGACACAACAAGCTGTCTTGGAAAATCATCTGTTCTCCTTCTGGTTGCACGTTTTGGCACAACAGTCTTCATAAAGGTCTGATTCCCCCAGCTCAGTCACGTAGAGTGGGTGTGCACCTTGAGTACAATGAAGGAAAGGTGAGTTTCTACAGCGTTTCACGCTGCGGCGAGCTCATGCTACTGCACCGAGTCCAGACGACATTCACTGAACCTCTGTATCCTGGATTTAGTGTGGATTTAGGAGCGAGACTAACAATTTGTACGTTTTAAGCTCAACTTCAACCATATTGTTACCGAACTGAATTAAGAAAATAAATAAGCAGTAAATTGATTAGAACCAATTTACATGTCACAGAATAATCTGTGTAAACTTAAATATGGATCATTTTGTACCTTTCTAAGTTTTTGATCCCAGTTTCAAAAGGAACATGTAAGTTCTTGATGCATTATTTTCAGAAATAATGGATATAATAAATGGTTCAATGTACAACTCAAACATATATGTCACTATTGATGCATTTTGAACTGAGATTTATTTTTCATATTCTGTAAAGTTTTTGCACTGGTAACATAGAAATTCAGATTTTGGTGTGAATTTCTATGTTCATACATGGAAGAATGAAAATACTGACATAAAAAATATTTTTAGTGGTTACAGTGCTTCTTATTTACTTCTTGCTTGAGATTAATGTTTATGCAGTCAATTGATAATTACAAATATTTTATATTAAAATGGCTGTTGCTCATTCAGTTTTTAAATTTTTGTGCACATCTTGACAGATTATCTCTATTTGACAAAACTCATTCCTAATTTTTAATGCTGCTTGTAATGTCTGCAAATTTGATTGACTCACATTATAAACTTCAGCAAAACTTACCTCTCTATTATTATTAGTTTCTCATTTGTCATAATATGTTAATGTTTCTTTACCACTTGAATTTGAGTATCATGTCAAGCTCAAACAACTATTTAATAAAAATTGTCAATTTCTAAAAAAAACAAAACAAAACACATTTTTGAGACTTTGGTTAATGTATTTATAGATCTTACTCTACAGAGCATGTCTCTGTTATAGATTATGGAAACACAAATACACAGCGCCACTAACGGGACCTCCGTAAAGGCAGTCATAAAACAGAGTCAGTAGAGGGATGTTCTACAGTGTCGTAGAAGCGCAGTGTGGCCTTGTATTGCAGCAGCTTGTCAGACAGAGAACTGCTGCTCAGTGGTTTCCCTTGAACTCTCAGGTCCATGTACCTAAACGGCAACAAGAGGAGACGGATTCAGAAGCACCAAAATTGGCTGTAGTTTGCCTTCAAAAGAGTTGACAAGACGGTAATTCATCCTATATTATAAAGATAATTGGGTACCTGTATGATAATCTCCAGAACAGAAGAGTATTTATAGTCATCAATGAGGCCAGAAGGAAGAAGAATCTCTCAAGATTCCCATCATGCAGAGAGTTTGGGTAGAAGATTCCTGTTTTGGCAGTGACATAATTTTGGGTCACCATCAGGAGATGTCAGAGGCAAATTAATCTTAAAAAAAAAAGTATATATATATGCACACATATTTTCTATCATCTGCATCATATGTTCTGGTGTCTCTCATGTTCCTCTTGACAATACCTCATAGGTTCTTCATGGGTTTAAGTCAGATAAATTTGCTGCTGGCTGAGCACAGTGATAACTGCCCCTGTTTAGCAGAGGATCAACACCAGAAGGTGTTGGTACTTGACTAATTCCTGATTATATGGAAACTTCAAACTGGATGACTGGTATTCTATGTTTTTTTTCTCGTCTTCAAATTTTAAGTTCTTCTTTACATCAATTTGTAAAAGGACTTTGGACAATCTGCCAACACTTTTCCTTCCACAAACGTTCAATTAATATGTCTGCAGCAGACTGTGAGCACCCACTGTCATTAGCAACTTAATGACATGATTACCTTGATTATAAAATGACCATAAAATAACATGTCATTATTAAAAATATATATTTTTAACAAGAGTTTTTAGTTTTTATTAGCTGTACCCATAATCTGAAATGTATAACTCGGTGTATAATGAATCTACATAAGCTTCACTTTCTGAATTAAAATATACAAATAAATAAAAATTTCTAATTTATGAAGATGCACATGTTTGCTCTGGAGGTAGTTGTTTTTTCTACCTCCAGAGCAAAAATGCACAAGCTGAATGATGAGGGCACCAAGCAAACAGCCCCCTCCATAGGACAGAGTGAGGAAGTGCAGGGAGATCCCTCTGATGTGGCTTGGGATCAGCTGGAAGGATATGAGGGAACCTGTCAAAGAACAAGAGAACAACAAATGACTGTCTAATCATCTGTCTTTGATCATCTGATAAAGTTTCATCCGGGATGGTTCACCCACACGACGGAGTGACGAGAGCTTCAGCCACACCGAGCAGGACGTATTGAGGTGCCAGCTGGAAACACGGCATGGATGACACATGCAGAACCTTCCCGGAGAGGGTCTGCTCCACCACCAGAACCTTCCAGGAAGCTCCACCAAGCTACCAAAGGACAGACACAGCAGCGCATGCATGGCCCAAAGCTAAGAGGACAGACGGCGTGGAATAACAGCAAAAGAACACTGAAAGTGAGAAAGATGTATAAACATTTCTGTGAAGTTGATGAGCATTTGGATTAGTTGGAGTGTGTGGCAGTGGGATTCTCACTGATGACTTTTGCAGGTGCCAGTGGAGTTTTCTCCATGGAGAGGAAGTAGGTTGTCACGAACTCCATCAGCGGGGCGAAGAGCAGCAGAGGCAGGATGCTGATGACATTCATGACACCGATGGGCAGCAGAAGGCCGTTCAGGTGGAGGTTAGAGTTCATGGCCTGTATGTAGTAACCTGAGGGAATCTGTGGAGAAATGTCTACCCAACCTCTTTTATTTCGCTAAACAGCAAATACTGATTGAAATGTGTTTATCATGACGTGCCTGTGTGACGCAGACTCTGTACAGCAGCTGAAGTCCATAGAGAGGAAAGAGCTTTGTCAAGACTTTGACATTTTCCACATGGGTCTCACTGTACCGCCCACCATTGTTCTCTTTGGCCCGGTCCAGCCAGGACACTGCTTCTCCACTCAGGTGGCGATGACGGAGGCAGCACATTTTGAAAGAGTTCAGGAAAACTCCTAGTGTGGTCAGTAAGGATCCACCTGAAACCAGTCCCAACAGGAAACAGAACTAACGAGTAAATATTTTGTGAGTCGTTTATTCCAGCACAAGGTTTTTTTGACTTTACAGCCACCTCCATAAGTAATCCCCAAATTTCACAGATTTTTTTTTTTTGAAAAATCCAACCTTTTAAACCTTTGTACAATTTCTGTTTGCAAAATACACTTCTCCTACAACATGTCACAAAGTTGAAGCAAACATACAAACAGATCCTTGACCATCAATCTTTCTACAATCTCTAGATTATCTAGATATCTGGGTTTTGAATTCTCTTCACTTTAGCTCACAAATGTTCTAGGATTTTCCTCAGGAGACTGAAAAGGCGATGAAAGTAGAATGATTTTGTGTCTGGCTAATTTCAGTTTACACTCCTTTGCATTCTGCTGTGTGGTTATAAGACTATTAAGAGCCTGTTCAAGTCAAATGGACAGCAGCCAAAAGAAGTGGGCCTCTGCATTACGTCATGTTGATAGAGCTCGGAAACTGAAATTTGTGGATAAGAAATGTGAAGCGCCTAGAAAGTCTAATTACCTTGAAAAGTAAAGTATGAATGAAAACATGTTTACCTTAATTTGGGTTGGCAGAAGTACCAACAATTGTGTCACTGTATATTTCCAGTAACATATTTACATTTAACACATTTAAATGTAGATATTCACATTGAAATATCTTTATATTTCAATGTGAATATTTACATTTAAACATCTGAATCAGTCAAATTATGCTTCTGTACTAAAAAATACATTTACTTCAGGTTTTTACACACCTTTACCAAGAGTACAAATAAAATCCCCCCACACCTCCTTTTGCTAGGGGTCAATAAAGTCCTCATGTCATCTCATCTCATCTCATGTCATCTCATCTCATGTCATGTCATGTCATGTCATGTCATGTCATGTCATCTCATCTCATGTCATGTCATGTCATGTCATGTCATCTCATCATCATAAGTGACTGCAGTTGTACCTCTCTTGGGTTTGTAGGTGAGTTTGCTGCGCATCATGTGGATGGCAATGAGAGCCAGCAGCACAGAGGTAAAAGGGATGAGGAAGCCCAGATTTTGGGCCACAGACTGCTGGATGTAAGCGATGCCCAAAAACACAACAGTGGAATTCAGATTCACTAACCAGTAGAACCTGAACAGAAAGACATTCAATAGTAAATCATTCAGTGATGCCAACAAACTGATGAATGAAGATAATTTGGTTTTATCAAAAGCATTCCAAAACTGAAATTTTTCAAAGCAAAGTTTTCACAATAAGCATTTGAAAGATTAGTCATTGGTGTTTTTGCTTTAGCTTTTGAAACCAGATTAAGGTTCGGGTTTAGAAAAACACTTCACCCACCAATTGAAGAAGGACAGGAGCTGGTGCTGCTTGTAGCTTTGCAGGCTGTAGGCCCCCATTGGACAGAGGATGGCCCTGATGCCACCGATGCCCAGCGCAGCAGCCAGGAGACCCACATAAAACAAGATCTGCTGCTCAAAGGGGTCCAACTTATGGGTGACGTGATGAGTGTCAATGTAGAAATCTTCAAAGGGAAACGCAACCACTGGCAGCATGGCTGTACCTAGAGCAGACCACAGCTTCAGAACTGTGCAACCCTGGGTCAGCTCTTCATCGCTTGTCATTTTAATAATCATTTTTATGGTCGTTATAAAGTTGTTCTGACTTTCTAAAAATCGTTCAAATGTTTTCTTTGAGCATTGAATGCTTTTTCTTCTGGAAGGAATATTTGCTGTCAGTTAAAGAAAATGTCGCCTATATCTAATTTATCACCAGCAGGGTCAAAAATCCAAGGGATGACTCAGTGTTGTAATCCATATCCAGCAGATATGGATTAAAGCAGAAAGACAAAACAGTTAGAAAAAATTCAAAACATAATACCACTGGTAAACATGAGCTCAAAGAGTTGAAATTAATTCCCATTTTATGCTATAACATAATGTCAGACCAAACAAGAAAAAGTACATTTATTCAATGCGGATAAAATTCAACAGTAAGAAACAATATACTTAAACAGAATCACACTGCCATTACAATCAGCTGAAAATACTGTTAATAATGCCTGACGGACTTTTTGGCAACTCACCTAAATTTGCCCACAATTTCAAAGTACATGCTGCCATGCTCAGGTAGCAAAATGTCACCAAAAATGTGCAAAAGAACAACAAAAAATCCCTATAAGGATTTTGACTAAACTTTAGATGGGCTGGATAACATCTGATTGATATAACATTAATAGATTTTGCTCAACTGTCTTATGTTTAGTTAAAGTTTAAAGATGTGGTTTAAAATAGCTGCTCACTGAGCCAAGAAAGCAAAAAATAGAAACACTCGACAATGGTTGATTTTTTTTTTTCTCCTTTCGAATATATATAATAGTGTAAAGACAGAGTAAATTAACTGAAGCAATTTGACTTAAAAGTAATTTGGAAATAAAATACTAAAACAGCAACAACAACAAAAGCTGTCGTGTTTTGGTTGTCATACCTATCTACGAAGCAAAATAACAACTCTCCCTCCGTCTTACCAAAGAAATGAAGAAAGGCACACAAGTAAAGGACCTTTGACCTTCCTAAGTAGGTTTCTGCAAACCACCCGACCAGAACAGGGGTCAGGGTGCTGGCTCCTATAAAGCACAGGTTGACGGTTGCAGCCAGGAAGTTGTCATAGCCCAGCTTCACGGTGCAGAACAGAATCATGTTACATACAATCCCAAAGAACGTGAACCTCTCACACAGCTCCACAAGCAAAACACAGATGACAACTTGGAGTTTCTTGCAAGATTTCTTCTGTGGTCTCTGGTCCAAAGTAGGAGTCTGGGAGACCGGCTGTACTCTTTCCCAGCGACCCGGTACTCTTTTCAGTCCTCCTACCACCATTCCACCAGCATCGGGAAGTGAGTCCTCTGCTGCTTAGTTGGGAAAGAACTGTGGGTACTGATCCAGCTCACGCTTACTGAGAACTGTCAGCGAGTAAAGCTGGAATCCTGCATCCTGGTGTGACTCCTGAGCTGAAATACAGACTAATAAGTCACAGTCTGTCTGTGTTGGTGGCTCCTTCATCTCTTCGTATTGTCTCACTCTGCACTGTGGTTGTTGTATGGGAATCTGACACATTGTGCACAATTTTGTAAAGGAGTGGTGAATGGTAGCAGATTAGAAAAGATCTCTGAATATTTTTAAACTCACTTGGAAGAAATAATGAGTCAGTTTTTAAACTATCTTCCACTCATCACAAATTTGCAGAAATTTTGTGATCGGTAATAATATACAGAGGAAGTATTTGTATTATTTTTCTCTGACTTTGCGGAAACTTTGCTAAAATGAAGTAAGACACATTGAAATGTTAGTGTCTATGTAGTGATTTCTTTAGAAGAGATCCGTAAAAAAATCTTTAAAAATTACTTTCACACAGAGTTCAAAACTCCAAAACACTTTATAAAATGTTAATGACCTGTAACCTGAATAGGAACACCCATTCCTGTAATAGGTAAAAAAAAAAAAAAAATCCATATATCGTGACAAAAGCAAATCTTTTCCTAAGGTCATCTAAGGTTAATCAACCCATTTGTATTGTCATCCAGCTGCACGTTGCTCAATGTGATGTTAAATATTAACTTTTCAAAGATGCTGGACCACTTTTGGTAATGGTTCACAATATTTGCAGTTGTACTTTTTAAAATCGGCTTCCTTTACCAAAGAGATTAAGCTGAAACAAAGACGACAATAAATGAATCTCTGCTGCATGTTGTTGCAAACTCACTCCAAATGTCACATCTCCTAGTTAAGGCTGCCCCTCACTGAGCAAGCTCATTACTGCTGATAATTAGAATCATGATGTTAGATTAGAGTGAGACAGAGTGCAGCTAAACTACAACTGGATTAAGGCTGCAAAAAACAGCCTGAGAACAAGAGAAAGCATTTCATCAGCAGGGATAAGATCAGATGACATGTGACCATATAATAGAATAGAATAGAATAGAATAGAATAGAATAGAATAGAATAGAATAGAAAACTCAAGCTTTCTTTGCCAGTAGTTTTGTCTGTTTTCTGTTGCTGATTGCATTTTACAATCAACAGCAAGGCACCCAACGTCACTATGGCAACTCACAGCTTGCACGAGAGCTTGGGGGCGTGGTGTATCATGGGAAAAGGAAACTGTGGTTGAATCGGTTCTCGCTTCCTCATTGAAAAAGGGCAGCATAAAAAGACCTTTTTGACTCTATCACAAAGGTAAAAAGTGAAGCTGTTTGCTTGTTATTTTCGGTGATACGCTTTGCGCGCAGCTATGTCACGTTTTGGCCTTTAACGGTCACGCCAGGAAGGGCTAATTCTAATGCTAAAGTTAGCTAACTAGCTCAATGTTGCTAACCGTTGTAAATAGTCGCGTTGTATTGGGATAGTCGAATATTTTTTTGTGTTGAAAGTTGTGCATAGCCATTGATTCACACGCAAAATGCAAATGCAAACACGAGTGCAGCCTGGCACTTCTGACATTTCGGCTTCAAAGCGCAGGTATCGGCGACTGATGTCTGAAGGAAGGATGCCCAAGTTTCTCCCCTCTGACTCCGAGGGTTTCAGCTCGACTCCCGTCAAGACTGGCCAGGATAAAGACGTCCACCCAGACAAATACTTGGATAACGGCGTTGTGTCTGACGATGAAGACACGTTTTCGCTGCTTTCTCCCATCTATCACGACAGCGACGAAGAGGAGCTGAAGTGCACCCCGGATCAGCAGACCTCACCCACACACAGCAAGGACTGGAGACTCTGGGCAACACCGGCCAGGTATTGCTTCAGCTCAAACACACATTTGGTGCTTCTGCTGAATATTTCAGATTGTATTGTCATCTGTTTGTATCATTTATAGATCTGAGCTGCCCAGGACGCCTCTAAAGAAGAAGCAGAGTGTACCTTTGCAGCTTGCAGGCTCACCTCCACTCAGTGCCTGGGAGGCCTGGCTGGTGAGCAAAGCTAAGGAGGATCATCTCAGGCTGGAAAGGAAAGCAGAAGAGGTAAGAGGATTTTTCTCCTACTGTTGATTCAGAGTTAAAATTAACACCCTTCCACTCAGTACTTTATTGAGCAAGTAATGTCACAGAATCTCTGCAGAATTTTCAATGCTTCCAAATGCAGGACCGCTTGCTTAGAGAAAAGGAAGAACGACAAGAAAGAGAAAGAGAGCAGAAGAAACTTGTCATGGAAGAGAAGATCCGAGAATGGTTAAAAACTAAAAGGGAGCGAGTAAGGATATGTGTTTTTACATGACAAAACATTATGTGAAATTTGATTGTGACATAAAATTGTGTAAAGGGCCTGACGAAATTGAGTATTTCTTTTAAAAATCTGTTTTGTCATAAGGAAAGACAGGAGCAACTTGTAAAACAAAGGAAAGAGACAGAGGAGATGCAGAGGCAGCAGAACAAACAAAGGGAGACCGAATGTAAATCCCAGGAGAAATACAGAGACTGGCTGCAAAAGAAGAACCAAGAGAAACTTGAAAAAGAAAAGAAGGAGAAGGTCGTATTTCTTATTTTGATTTTGCTTTCCAAAAAGCTTAGGAAAGGACGCTGAATCCTTTTTGTTTTACGTAACAGATGGAAGCTGCCCTGAAGGAGGAGCAGGAGAGAGAGCGCCGCAGGAAGGCAGAGGACAGGTTTAAGGAGTGGCTGACGAAAGCCAACGAGAAAATCAGAGCTATTCCCAAAACACGCTCTTGCTCTGCAAGTAAGATTGTTGAAGTAACTCAAATTTTGAACTGAAAAGTATTGATTTATCTAATAACATTATTTTGTATTTATCAGCTATATTGGCTTTATTTTCCTTTCTATTTAATAATTGTAATGGATTCTTTTCACGCAGGCCCCTATGACAAATTACACCCAGCACCCAGCTTCTACAATCCAATCCCCTGGAAACCGATTCATGTCCCTCCTCCACAAACATCTCCAAGCAAAACATCTGAGAGGAAACCACAAAGGCAGAAAAATATTAAGCAAAATCCATCCCTTACCTACAGACAAAGAAACACAGCCAGCACGACACATTTTCTGAACAGAAGATGACCCAAACAGCTCTGTGATGCAGAGAGCTTAGACACTCGTGACTCATGTAAACCAGCACAGCTCTTTCTAGAAAACTCTGCTGAGTCATGAAAGGACTTGTGTTCTTTAAGTACCTTTGGTGTATTTACTTGTTTCTAATTCAGTCACTTGGCTTACAAAAACAAAATTAGTAAGTCTTTTTTTTATATATAAATTAAGTTCAGAAAGTAGTAAATTCTTTATACAGATAAAAAATTTTCATTGTTTTATACCTTTTTTTTATAAATAGTGACTAAACATCTACAGCTTTGGCATGTATTTTAAATCCTGTGTTAAAGGATCAGTTCATCCCGTTTTAAGTAAAGTAAGTGTGATCAACTGCTGCCTCTTGTCTTATTTTCATCTTGCAGTGGTTAACAAAACCACATTTTCCTCTGCTTTTCAACATGCGTTGACCACACCGCAGAAAAGATGGTATCTGCTTGTCACGGCCAGAGATAGAGCCCGGTTTGGCTCAAGTGGCCCTCACACTCACACATTGTTCTGGGTCCAGCTGTGCCTTGTTCTTCTGTGGGCTGAGATGACGACAGAAATGAGTGTGGGGGTGGGCAGAGGGAGAGAGACAGAGAGAGAGAGAGAGAAAGAGAGCAATTGATGTAGAGCTGAATCTTCATTCTGGGTTAGCATCTCACTTGTGATGCCAATATTTGAAGCCTGAGGTAAAAATGATTTCAATTACACTTTATTCTGAATTGATGATGGTGAAATGCTGTTGTATGTTTTGGCTGATGTGTTTGGCTCTCTGTGCCTGTTGTCAACTGCTGTGGAATGTGTTATTTGACAGCAGTCAGACAGGGGGTCCTTAATGTAGGACATTTCTAAAGACTAATGAGAAGTTTTGGTTTGATAATAGACTGGTTATAATATGTAGGCCACAGAATTAGTTTTATCTTTGCACATACTTGATTTACAGTGAGCCCTCAATGTAAAAAGTCTCGCGAATAAACTAATATACTTAAAATGCCTTTTTGAAGAATTCATAGTTTTTAAACTTTTGACTATTTTTTTTTTTTTTGGAAAGGAGTTTATGATAAATCAACACAAAGTGATGCACAGTTGTGAACTAAAAGTGAAATGATCCATATTGATTTTTTGTTGTTGTTTTTTTTAGGTTTTTATAAAAAAAAAAGTGTGACATGAACTTAAATTAAGTCCTCTTGTTAATAGAAAATGCAGCTGTAAGTCTTTTGGACATCTTTGAATATCAAGAAAAATTTGAACCACTCTGTGAAAAATGGCTAAGGGTCAGTGAAACTGGATGGAGAGAGTTACTGAACATTCATTTCCAGAGAGATTTTAATTGAATATAGGCAATAAAACGAGTCTACTCTCTTTTCATCTGACCAGAGCACCTTTTTACACATATGACTTTCTTTCAACAACTGCTTTCTTGTTGCCACCTCTACAAAAATACAAAATCTGTCATAGGTGTCCTGTCATCAGATTCTCCCACCTGAGTTTTGGATCTCTGCAGTTCATCCTGAATTAATATGGATCAGTTGTGCCAGACTTTTCATGATTGTATGATGGATTGAACAGCGCTCCATGAGAAGTTTGATTTATTTACTAATGTTCTCTAAGAAACCTCCAAGGAGCCTACATAACAATTGTACTTATACAGAGATGAAATTATATACAGATGAACTTTATGACTTAGATGACTTCTGAATGCAATTGGTCTGGACTTTGTTTGAGGATATCACAGTGAAGGGGGTAAATACAAATGTTATATATACTAATAGAAAACACTTCATCTGTATGTAATTCTTTGTTTTAGTCTATGGAAAAATCCTACTTCAATATACTGATGTCTAACAATTCCAACATGATAAAATGCTAAACAGCCCTCGGGGTATGAACACTTTTACAAGGCACTGTGACTCACTGTTTTCATGTTCTTCTGATGGAAATGTCAAAGAGTTCAGCAGAGAAAACACTTTTGCTCATCGGTCTCAGATCACTGAGCTTTATATCTGCCTCTTCCAGGTACAGTGACCTCTTGATAGACCTTGAGCAGAAAACCAATATCCCAAGATGCAGTGGTGCAAGTGGGCTGGAAGCTGGAGGTCACATTTGCCAAGACAGGTAGGAGGCGTGTCCTTCAGGTTCTCAGAGTGAAAGAAACTAGAATAGGACGACGAATGACAGTCTAAAGGGCAAGAGTACAGACTTCAGCAGAGGAGCTGATAGCGCAGTGGTGACGAAGTTATCATGAAGAAACTGATTTTGTATTTTAGGCTTTGTTTCTTTACAAGAAAGCAAACAGAGTTTTAATGCCTTTGTTTTTTTGAGGTGTGTCACCTCTTTGGTTTAGATTGGGTTAAAATGTCAGAAGAAACAAGCTGCCGGATTGGATTTGACTTTTTTTACGCACACATTTTTTTAACCTGAATGGGACATTTTTGCCCTGAACTCCATTTGCTCGACATGTTGCCTGTCTCGTGAAACTTATATTTCCTCACAAAGATGTGATTAAGCATTATGTAAATACTCTCTCCTGTATTGACACAACTTGCAGGAAACCAGTTCTGTTGCAAAGAGGCACAAAGGTCTTGGGATATTGCATTTCAGGCTCTGTGTTTTTGTCACCATGCAGTCTGCCGAGTCAGAAGTTGAAGACTCCTTTGACTTTCTTTTTAAAATCATCCTGGTCGGGGACTCAGATGTTGGAAAGACCTGCATGGTGCAGAGGTTCAAGTCGGGCATATTCATTGAGAAGCAGCAGAACACCATTGGGGTTGACTTCACCGTTCGAACGCTGGACATTGATGGAAAAAAGGTGAAGGTGGGTACTTTGTAGTTCTCCTCATTTACATAATTTTTTTCCAGAAAGAGCACTACAAGGAAAGGGCTGAGTCTACTGACTTATAGGAAATGTAGGAAATGTCCTTAATGGCTGTCATGTTAAATTTATCCATATTTGGTCGCTGTTCTTAAAGGCACCGTCTACCATATACTAATAAAAATGATGCTATGCTTATGTAATTTCGCTTATTGTTGTTACCTTTGTGTTTGCTCTCTGGGTGTGTTGGTTTCTTATTTTATAACATTATTAATACAACAAACATAACGCTATTTGTTCCAGTTAAAGACACTGCATTTTGAAGATACCAACCCCACACTGTTAAACTGGTTCACCCATATTTTTGGTGCTGTGTCGTCCTTCAGATGCAGGTGTGGGACACAGCCGGACAGGAGCGTTTCCGCACCATAACACAGAGCTACTACCGCAGTGCACATGGAGCCATGGTGGCCTACGACATCAGCCACCGCAGCACATTTGAATCCGTTCCCCACTGGATCAGGGAGGTGGAGCAGTACGGAGCAGCCAGCGTGGTAGTGATACTTGTTGGTAAATATTTTCATCGTGGAATAGTATCTCATGTTCCAACCACAAATCTCAATTGGCTTTTTTTCAGAAATACATGGGTTTCAATTTGTCTTTTTTTTCTTTCTTCACTAATATGGAGCTGGAAATTTTGGCTTGCATTTGTTTTTAAACCCCCCAAACTATGATTAGCTCTAATTCTTTCTCTGAACATGCATTGGCTAGGGCATTCAATTAGCAAATTCTTCCAATCTTAGTCTGCTGTAGCCCCAACTGTATGTTTAGATGGTGAACCTCCATGCAAAATCAAACCTCTAACATATGATGCTGCCACCACCTTGCTTCACATTGGAAACTGTATGCTCACGGTGATGTGCAGTGTTAGTGCTTCAGAGCACATCACATTTTTGCTTGTGGGATATAACATGATGCTTTTGTTGGATCTGACCAGGTTTTCTTCTTCTACTACTACATAATTGCTCTGTACTCTTACATGGCTTTGCTTTAAAAAAGGACATTTTTTATTTTTTGTTTAACCATGCCAACTATCTAATTTGAGCAATTTCATAGTAGTTTTTAAGTTCATGACTAATAATTTTTGGCAGATTCTTCCACCTGAGCTTTTTTCTGCTCCTCCAGAGTTACTATGGTCCAAAAGAGTTGCTTTACTATCCTTTATTTTCCACTTAAAAATGACACAATGATCTGTTTTTCTATCCTATAAAGCACATTGAATTTTAAGGTTGTCATGTGACAAAATGTGAAAAAGGATTTAATTATTAAAGAGTCTCTGTTAAGCAACAAAACTAAACATTATTTTTCTTAATTTCCCCACATATTGAGTTGATGCTTCTCCTCATAGAAGCATATCTTACGGATGGAGAGAATGATGAAAATCCAGACTGCGGCTGACATTCTCTGCTCTGCAGGTAACAAGTCGGACCTCCATGCTCAGAGACAGGTGCTGTTTGAAGACGCGTGCACTCTGGCTGAAAAGAACAGCCTGCTGGCCGCTCTGGAGACGTCGGCGAAGGAGGCCCAGAACATAGAGGCTGCCTTCATCCTCATGGCTCGGGAGCTGCTGGCACGCAACGGGATGGCCATCACGGATCAGAACTCTCATTGCTCTCCCCAGTTCATGCTGAGTGACTCCTCTCACCCAATTCAAGCCTCCGTTTCTGACGATAAAAAGTGCGGCTGCTGAACAACCAGAGTCAGATTTAGCATTTGATACAAATTTGAAGATGGCCTAACGGATTGGTTGTTCAACCAGGAAAGAACCTTCTTTAAAGACAATGTTTGGTTGTTTGGTTTAGGTTGAGACAAAAATTTTACACATTTTCTTGTCATATTATTTATGAGTCTTATTGGGATCTTTAACAGGTTTGTCATATTCTTCTGGGGTGTTCTGACAACAAGCCACGCCTTTGCCAGAGGACTTTGTACTAACACCTCACCACAGTAAACACCATTTTCACTCTCCATTTAGCTCCCTTCATCTTTTTAATTGCTCCTTTACAAAATATTGCTTTTACAAAGTATCAGTCTGCAGGTTTCCATCACTTTTACATCTTCAATACAGAACAGGTGCAACTTTCTCCATGTCATTTAATCTAGCAAACATTCATGTTCACTTGTCAAACAGCACCTCATTTCTAATCCAACAGTGCAATGCTGTAAACTTTACAAAAACATAAAAAGAGGATAAAATCAAAATACTGCATTTTTAAAGGTCTAAACTGAATATTGGCAACTTAATTTCCTGAGCATTAACCGTGACTTAAAAACAAATCAGGCTGGAATATATCAACCAACACAGAATAAGAAAACAAAAGGGTGATTTATTTAGAAAAATAAAATTAATCTTCATTTTAATAAGTGCTTTTGACCTTAAAACCTAAGGTCAAAACCACATTTGTGCCAATGTAGCTTTTGCTTTAAACTGAGTCAAACATTTTCCGATATATTGTGTGGTGTAAAACACCTGACAGCTAATCTAATTTCTTTTGAAAGCAGGCAAATGTTATAAATTTTAATGCATAAAACTCTTCCTTTTAGACTAAACAAACAAAAAATCCGGCAGATCAGACTGACAGTTCCTCTCCAAAGTGTACAAAAAAAGTGTTTATGATGTGAACAGTTAGACTTTGATTAATAATTTCAAAATATTGTGTGGATATGTGAGATTTACCCTGTACATTTTAAAAACACAAGAACAAATGAGAAAAGAATTATAAAAAAATAAAAAACCTGTAATAATTTGGTAGAATAAGTGTGCACACCCTTGAAATAACCACTAAATCCCTTTTGATACATTTTTAGTATATACTCTATGAATTCACATCCACTATCAATAATGAAACATTAATATAAAGTTCTGTAGTCTAACTAGATTCATCTAACATTTCTGCATTAGCATCCTGTTGCTAAAGGGCTAGTCTGTAGATGGCTTACAAACATTCAAAAGGACCCCATGGTACAAAGGTATCAGTCAGGAGAAGGGCATACAAAAAGAAATTTACAGCATAAAATGCATATTGTAGTACAAAGATGAATAATTGGAGAAAGTATTGGAGTACAAAGCTTATTAAAACACAGCACTTTTCGCCAGAATTAATCAAAAGACGAGATTAACATTCTATTATTTACATGAACCTGAGGTTTTTAGTCAATATGGATAAAGTTCTGATTAATTTCAAATACCACAGATATGTTTGCTTGATAGTTAAAAGCAAAATGAGATCTTACACTGTGAATCTAAGCCAGGAATCTCCAGTTTCACTCTCCTACTACTCAATTATCTCCTCAACACTTCATTAGGTTCTGCAGACGTGTTGGTGAGCCATTGATTTAATTACAAAATAAAGTTTAGCAAAACTACAGTGGGCTGCGGAAAATAGATGTGTTCCTACACATTGAGGTCTGGAGAACGTTTGGAAGGCAGAGTGAAAGAAAACGCTATTGTGATTCCTACTAAAGAAGGCTGAATGCTGAATTAGAGCAAAAGGATTAGTTTAAGGTTGTGCACACTTATGCTTTTTTAAACGGTTTCTTTGTTTCTCCGAAAGCAAACAAACCCATACATGATATGTTCCACATTAATGGTGGAAAAAGTTTTGAAATGATTTATCATGCTCTCTTTTCTTTAATATAAAACCTGACAAGTAGACTTTAAGAGCTGCTGTAAATTGTAGTGTTAGCATTATAACTGCTTGTTGTATATACTCTGAATTGCACAATAACAGGCAGAATACAAAGAAAGGTTTTAAAAAAAGAGAAGCTATTTGAATATTCCCTGATGCTACTCTAGAGGCCAGCCTTCCTGCTGGAACACCAACTCCACGGCCTCTTTCACGTCCTGCACCACGAAGGACGGCTGTGTGAGGGTGGGGTCGAAGCGGAAGTCCCTGTGGCCGTGGAAGATGTGCTGCTCAGTAACTGTTTGCGCCGGGTCAGATGGCAGCTCCTGCTGATCTCTGCTGTACACTCCTGTACAGACCAGGATGGAGCTGCAGGCCTCGGGGAGATCCTCCTCTGACCTGTAGGCAACAGAGGCGCCGCCCATTTCCGCCGATGTCATTTTACGATGGTCGTCGACAGACTGAGCGGTGGGATCCGCTCCTCCTCTGCAGCTCTTGGCCTGCACTTTGACTTTGGTATGCTTAGAGGCCTGAAGGTAGCGATTGTAGAGGTTGGCTCCATATATGTCTGCCATGGGATTGTCTCTATTCGGCAAAAGAAAATTCTTGTCAAAATAAGAATAATCATGTTATGATTACTCCTATTCTTCTTAGTGTAAAACCCTGACTAAATAAACTCACCCGATAGCATAAAGCGTCTTCACAGGTGTGTTCCAGCCGAGCTTCTCTGCCTGCTGTCTAATCAGCAGCTCAGCGTAGTTATAAGTCACCACACTCGGCTTACCAATCAGAGCCTCATACTTCAGATCGTAACCTGTGACCTTCTTGTACAAATTCTCTAAGCAAACCAGGAACATGCCATGTCCAAACCTGCAACATGAGAAATACTCAGTATTCAGTGCTTCCAAATAAAAAATGGATGTGTTTGCAGTGACTTGCAGACAAACCTGGGATTTTTCGCCTCTGCCATCCACAGCAGGTCCATATTGCAGGCCAGGACCGGGATGTGAGGATACTGGGTGGAGCTCCACAAACTGCCCGGGTTTCCGTTGGTTAGAAGAACGTCAACGATGAGCTGAAGATTGGTCTCCCATCTGATTGGCTCACCGAATAAAATTATGGCTGCAGACATTAAAACAAGATATGGTGTTTATAGAAGTTAACTTTAATAAAATATCTATTCACGACGCCAACCACAATTATTTATATCTCTGATGTGTAAAAAGCCTCAAAATGTTATTGGAGCAGCACCACCGTGCAGTGAACATTTCAGAACTGACATTTAGCTGATACATTTATTCTCATAACAACAAACTATTGTCTAACAGTATCCCCACTGCCACAATTATTGATAAATCTGGGACTTTGAAAGAAATGTAACTGAAGCAGCTTATTAATGTATACTTACCTTTGCTAAGTGGATCTGAATTTTGGGGAACTTTGAATGGTTGGTATCAATATAGCAGAACTATTTATTTTAGCCACTGGCCAGGGTGAGGATCTACAGATATCTTGCCACTACTTGCCATCCTATTGACAAAACATATCTATACAAGGCAATGATTATAGTTTGGTTATTTTGATCAAAAACAATGTCTTCAAACAAACATTTAAAACTAATCAGTGGATGAAATAAATATGTAAATTTACGCTACTACTCTCGCTTGTTGACTGCTGGAGACAGGCACAAGCACCCCTCCCTATCCCCACCAGCATGTTGGATAATGGATGCAGATCATGCTACTGCAATAAAGTAGAAAATAATTGTAAGACTTTTTACACGTTTTGATAAGAAGGTGCCAAAAAGCTTGACTGTGTTTGTATAAGTTGACTGTTTGAGGGAGACATACCGTCTATTGGCCGTAAGTTCTTGTTGGGTGGAATCTGTAAGAAATTCAACAGTTGAGCTTGACGTCTAACTCATAACACGTAAACAGGACGCAACAATCAGTGGCACTTACAAAGTCTTTGGGCCTTCTGTTGTGGTCCACCATATCCAGGACAGGGTACGCCTCTCTAACCATATCTATGGTGACCACGTCCTCAAAGCCCAGGCTGGCGTTTTGTGAATTAAAGGTCACAATCAGATCAGATCAGCAAGTTCAAAGAACACATTTTCTGAAGGTGTTGAAAACGACTTTCTTTAGGGATAGGAGCTAGGCTAATCAATCAATCAATCATCAATCAATCAATCAATCAATCAATCAATCAATCAATCAATCAATCAATCAATCAATCAAGGCATCTTGAACTGGGACTCAAAACTTGGAATGTTTCACTGCTTTGTGTGGCAGCATGTACCAACCCAAAGCAGAGCATCATTTTGTGGAAGGTAAAGGTTTAATCAGTGGTATCCAAACCTGTCAGCTTCTAACTGACTCTGACTCTATTAAAAGGTCGGAGGTCGTAACTTTGTAGTCTTAAAGAGAAAGAGTCCTGTCAGATCTGCCATGGGGCTTATGGTACCAGCCGCAGATACTCACAAATTTAAGCAATTCAAATGGAAAAAGGAAGGATGTGAATGGCAAAGTGCAGCCCCTAATCTGGGATAAAAACTGGTGAAGTTAATCTGTTCAGTATTCTAGCATTACTAGAACATCAATTACGCAGAGGGCATCAACAACCAGGGTACTGTAGTATTTTGTGAGAACTGTTGTGTTCTTTGTTGACATACAGAGTGAAATTATGCTTTCACCGTAATCCTTTTTGTTTTCTGCTGTGATTTCTGAAAAAAAATCTTAAAACTCTGCATGACCTCCAGTGCCTGTTTCTAAATCACCTCACTTTGAACTAACTTCTCCAAACATTTAAACAAAAGTAAGAAATCTGTGAAAAGGCTTCGCTGCTGCCATGGGTACAAAGATTAAATGCTGATAGCAAAATGGAGCTTGCACCAAAACACACTAAATCAACAGATCATGTACAGACTGGCTTAGGCAAACAGCCAGCGTGATCGGAGGAACCGTCAGATAAGATAGGATACTTGTGAGCCACCTCCTCAACAGGACCCTGACCGGAGACCAGCACGCACTTTTTGTGAAACTGGGTAAATATTCGCAGAGGACTGTGGGACAGCATCACCTGGTCTGGAGACACCTGAGGACAGAGGAGAGAAAAGAAAGCTCATGAAAACCCAGAGGAGACAAAAGAAGCTGATTTAATGGTTTAGATGTAGCTCAGTTTACCTCAACCTCCAGGAGATGAGACAGATGCTCAGCTTTAGTCTGCCTCATGCAGTTCCCTGCGTTCGTAACAAAGACCACAGGAACCTTGTACTTCCCATGGCGGTCCACCAAGTTCCTGAAGCACTGCTTGGCTGCTGGGATCGGGGTCCTGCCTCGGACCAGGACCCCATCTATGTCAAAGAGGAGCCCAAAGGACCTGGGGTTCTGCAGGGGGGAGCACAGGGGCCAGAGTGGGGTTAGGGTTAGGCACCCTATAAACCCAATTAATTACAACAATTCAGTCAATAATTGGGCCAAACTTTTCATTAACTTGGGTGAGAATCTTTTCAAAGATAAATGCCCGACGCCACACAGTTTACAAAGCATTATTTTACATGAATTAATTTTTTGTCAACTCCAGAGTTTAACAGCAGGTAACAAAATTTCTCACTTATTTTTAAATTCAGCAAATATCAGTGATGGTCATTATAAGCAAACTAAAACAGAAAGATTAGGATAATTTAGTCTCAGTTAATGAGGGAAAATGTAATTTTAACATGTGTATGTGGCTTAAATGCATAAATATGACTTCCAAAAAACAAATTTTAATCTTTGGGCAGCTCCTTTTATTGTAAACTGATTTTGTTTTTGCACTGTAATAACAACCATTGTGGCCTGTATGTGCTTGGATCTAAATATTCATTACCAGATTGCATTTTATTGAAATCAATTACTTGCTTTTGGATTGTAACTGGATATGCATTTGATCTGACTCGTTTAGATGTCAGTGTAACCCTGTCGATATGAAAGAAAAGTCCATAAGTCCTGGGATCCTATTGGTAGGCGAGAAGTGCAAGAGGCTGTTCAATAACTGAATGAAAACTGAATCCATATATTTGTGTTCGATAAGTATGCTGAACTTTTGAGTCATCCACACGCACTGTGAAAAACACAAACAAGAAAAAAACACAGATCACTTACATGGCTATAACATCTTGAGCTGGTTGTCTGTTTCGCTGCTCCCTCGCAGCTTGACCTCAATAACAACCAGCAACTTTTAAAACACCTCAGTCTCTGCATGGCTCCGGCCACATGAGCGATTAAAACGAAAATCTAACTGTCCACTTCGAGGAAGTGACGCCTGAGGCGGGCAGGAGCTCACAATATCCGCAGCAGCGACTGTCAGCACTTAACACTTTCGTTTCTCCATGCTGATAGTGGATGCCTGCGTTCAGGACAAACCGTACCGCTAGTAACACTTATGACAGCCGGAGCGCATGCGCAAAAGACCAACTCGGTTTTACGTAATGCGGTTTTACGTCACCGGAAATACGTCTCCGAAAGGACCTATTCAGTTGAAATGAAACTGAAGAAGCAGTTTCCAGATTTTTTTTTAAGGCGAAAATATTTCCAAACTATGTAAATTGTAGAGGTAGAAGCAAGGCTCCCTCCTAATTTTTGCGAAAAATTAAATATTTGTTTTAACTCAACAAAACTCTCAACTTAAATCTTCACATTAATTTTAAAAATATAGGATACTGCATGACACAAACCATGCACTATTTGGGGAGGGAGGAAAAAACGGAAGTTAGAAAAGAGAGGATGAAAGACAATGGGGTCGATAATGATATATACAAACATATTAAAAAACAAAAAAAAATATGTACAATTTTATTGGTTAAAAGCACAAATGATTCAAAAAATGAAGTCAACATGTCAATAAAAAAAATAAAAATATGAACAGTAAAAGTGGAAAACGTTGGAGAAAATGTTCTTCAGCTAATTCTTAGTTCATTTTCAAGTCCATAAATTTTGGCTTTCAGAGCCACAAGCTCATCCTGAACCTTTTTAGTCCTTGAATTAGTTTGTCGTACTTCGTGCAGAATGGCTAGGTCCTGGTGGGGCCCAATGTTTAATGTGACCTGAAGAAAACAAAATGATTTGGGTTTTATAAAGCTTGTCACACAAATATTGAAACAACAAAAAACACATAGTCGGGGCTTTTTTTTTTAACCTTGAGGAGCTGTTTCTCGACATCCTTGAGCTTCTGTCTGAGGAGTTTTAGATCTGTCTTGAAGCCCTCCACCTCCATGACCCTTCTCTTCTCCAAAGCCTCGTAGCGCTGAGTCATGAGCTGGAGGCGCTTGGCCATCTTTTCTGAACGCTCCTGAACATAAACAGGATAATTCATAAGAAAGTCAAAAAAAAAAAAAAAAGCACACAGTCTAGAATTTCTCAAAGTAGCAAACCTTAAATATTTCTCTGCCTACGTCTCCTTCCTCTCTGATTTGGGACAGTTCTGTCTCCAGTGTGATGCATTGCTCTCTGAACATCTCTGCCAACTTATGAGCTTGTTTCAGATCATCTTGCAGAGCCTGATTAAAAAACCAAAAATAAATAGGATAAGCAGGTATTGCTTGTTGATGATGCTGCTCATTAACTTTAAATTACAAGTGTACAACAAAAATAATGAAGTAGCTATCATTACCTTTTTCTCCTCCTTATGTTGTTGAGACAGCTCAGTTTGGGGTCGAGGAAGAAAAAGAGATCTGCTGCTGCTGGGCTGCCAGGATCTTGTCATTTCAGTCCTTGCCCTCCTCAGTCGGTTGTGGTAGGAGTCCAGCTCCCTCAGGAGCCGATCTTTTTCCATAATCCAGTTTTTCTCATTGGCCCGAGCGTCAAATTTCTGCTGTAGGAAATCTCTTGTGCTTTCATGCAACAGGTTCTGCGTCTGCTGGAGCCTGATGTGTAAAAAAAATAAAATAAAAAGTTACTCTTGGTAAAGAGTACAAGCCATAAATTTAGATATTAAAAAGACACACTTTTCACTCAGTGCAGAAATGCGTTCCTGGTCTCTCTGTCGTTGTGCCTGCGATTCCTCTGTTATGATCCTCCGATCCTCGAGGAGAGCTTCCACCTGCTCTCTGACTAGACGCGTCTGTTCCTCCATCTGAGCCTGCAGCGCCTCCACCTGAAAACGCAAGCCAACACTGTAACAAACGACCACAACTTGAAGCATTGCATTAGTATGGGGAAAGACAAAAGAGAAATAGATGTCTTTTTTTCTTTACTTTTGTAGTGGCGCTTATCAGAGTCATAATTAACACATTTTCTCAGTGGAGCAATACCTGCAACAATAATGTCTGGTTGTCGTTCTTGTACTTCTCTACACCATCACCAGCTGATTTTGTTTTCCTGTTAGCCCCTGTTCAAACATTAAAATGAAAAGGGAATTTATTTCTTTGAAAAGACAAAAAAACAAACAAACAAAAAAAAAACACCTAACACAATCACTCAGACTGTTTTACATAAATCAACAAAATGATTTCAAACCTTTTGCTGCTGCAGCAGGTCTTAGTTTTGTTGGCCTTAGACTGAGATTTTCATCAAACATGGACTCAGGGTGCCTTTGAGTAATTGTGACCTGAAAAAGCAAGCATGACGTTGTCATTAGGGTTGTCTGCACTTTTGTAGTAGCGCTTACTCATTTTACACATCAGGCGCCAGCAGACTCAGAACCTGTTGCATGTAATGATAACAACGTATTTTTTTCTGCCTTTAAAGATGAAGTGTAATTTTTTAAAATTTGAGTTAAAGTGTACACAAAATAGTTTTATTTTAATCAACTATGACATACTTAATGTACACAGTCAAAGGCAGAAAATAATTTAACTGAGCTTCAAAATAATTCAAACCCTTTTAATATTACCCCATAGTCAAAGCCTTGAAGATTTTAGAGTTATCTCAATTGTCTTATATAAAAAAGGAAACAATGACTGTCTCTTTCAATGACAGTTTGTCTATTGAAAGAGAGGTTTCTATTAAGCAAACACTATAATTAAAACCATTTACACCATTTTATACAATAAATGTAAAATATACTACAGATCTGTGAATTAGTGAGTCTGTTCCACCTTGTGTGGAGGCTCTTGGTGAAAGTACGTAATCTCTCCAGCATCAGGACCGACAAGAGCAAGAAGGTGTTGGATCTTTTTCCTGTCCTCCATCTCTCTGCAACAGTATGTACAAGATTAAACACTGATGGGAGACAGCCAACATATTGTATAATTAACATATTCATCCAAAAGCCATACTGTGTCTTAAAACATAAAAAACAAACAAACAAAACAAAAAATACTCATATCATATTAATCACACACATTTAGTGACACCACAGATCAAGAGGTTACTCGAAAACCACGGATGAAAATAATTTTGAATAATTGTGTTTGATCCAGCGCAGTGCACCCACCTGATCTTTAGTCTGTCATTTTCTGCATAAAGTCGGAGAGACTGCTCTCTCTCCTGGAAAAGGTAAACCTGCATGTCGCTCAGAGCGTTCTGAAGCTGTGTAACTTCTTTTTCGCGCTCCTGTATGTCATACTGCAGTTTGTGCTGGAAGGACATTGATACAGAATATTCCTTAAACGATTTAGGAACTCGGACACTCAGTGACAGCTGAAAACCTCCCTCCCCAAAGAGAACGCCCACCTGATCCTCTGCAATGCTTTTAAACTTTTCCAGCATTTGGAGCAGCTCTTCGTGTTCACCGTCATACTGGGTGATTTTCTCTCTGTAGAACTGCAGCAGCTCCCTGGAAGGACGCAGGTAAGCAAGACGCTCCTCTATGGGAGGAAGTGGGGAATCTAAATCTTTACTGGGGGAATGAATGCTGACTCTGTAGAACAACAACAAAAAAATATCTGACTCATTTTGAAGATTATTCAACTTCATATTCAGCAATGTACATGTGCTCATTTAACACAAATACTTGTGATGACAGGACTATTTTTTTAGACTGTGAAAGTGCACTGAGATGAAAACATTTTAAGAGACTAGATTTGTAGATTGGCACAAACATCTCTAACCTGTGAGGCGTTCCATGCCTTGCTGGAGATCCCATTCTTCCAAACATCTCTGAAAACGAGAGAAGAAATTATGCAGCATTATGAATAAATGCATCCTACACCAAAGGATGTTGTTGTAGTCTATCAAATATTTGATTCATTATTATGTTCATGCATAATTAAAAACAGTAATAATGGGAGGGAAAAAAAATCTCTGGGACATTTTGAGCTTCCTTTCACCAACCGAGCAACATCAAGATTCACATAAACCCACTGAAACAGTTCTTTACAGGAGGAAAACTGGAGAAACATGAGTGACCGTATTAACGGAACTTAAATACAGTGGTATCGTCACTTTATATGGTCTAAAAACGAGCCACCACATTAATGTACAACAGCACAGTTATTTCAATGGCTGTCAAAGTATTTTTAAAGCGGTATAAAATGAACTGTTACATACAAGTAAAGACGTCGGTTCCAGAACCTGGGCCGTGTCGTTGCTCACAGCAACGGTGAAGTTCTTTTTTAAATCCAGTGCGTTTCCGCTTCTTTGTGGCTAACTGTGCAGAGGAAGTTGGCAGCGCCATCTATCTGCCGGGCTGTGCAATTTTCTAATGTTATTTAGTGAAGCCATTACCATCGGGATTTTTATTCATTTTAATCCAATTAATGTGACATATGTCGTTTATTGGTTGTTTTTGGAATTAAATTAAGAACGTTTGGAAAAATACAGCGGAAAAGTACCTATCCACAAACTAGTCAAGTTTGCCAATAAAAAGCGGTGACTGTGTAAAACTTCAAAATAAAAGTAAACTTTTTGACAGGTTGGTATAAATCAAAGCACATAGAAAAAATTATTTAGAAAATCTTATTTTTAAATGTAATTTTTAATTGCATGATAACCACATGAAAGACACGTGAAACGGTCCTTTGCGAAAATACATCAACCGGAAACGCCTGTTTGGTCCAACTTGACCACACTGACTGGGCTCGCGTAAAACTTCAGCCACACCGGCGCTTCTCTGGTCGGACTGTTTTGTTTTTCTCTCAGCGATGGAGCGGAAAGTCGCCCGAGAATTTAGACACAAGGTAAGACGATGAACGTTTTTTTTTAAATCATATATTCCAATATTATCTGAATAAAACGGTATTGCGTTACCTGGTGTCTCAGGTGTCTCCGCCGGAGAGGATGTTGCGCGCGCACAGGCCTCTTTTCTGAAAGAGCTGAATCAGTCAGGAATTAGTGTAGTTGGTTTGAAATAACACTAACAAGAAACCAAAGCTGATTCAGGACATTTTTTTTCTATCTGCTGTTTGTCTTGATCTAGATATTTGAAGACAAATAATAATAATAATAATAATAATAATAATAATAATAATAATAATAATAAAAGTAACAAAATTCTATCACGAGAGGTACTTTAGGATGAATCTTATTTTGGGGGTATTTAACATTCCTTCATAACAACAGATTATTTATGTCGACAGAAATTCCCGTCAAGATTCAATCGTCACACAGAGTGTTATGTACTTACAGATTAAACTATTTTCAAACGAGGTGGGCTTAAAAAGTGAAGAGGGAATGTACTGTTTAAAATGCTTCCAATTGAGCAAAGTAAACATTAAATTATTATAGACCTACAATTAATTAAAATAAATAGTCATATTTTGATTATAATTAATAAAGTTAAATTTCAAACCCTTTTCCACTTTTAGCCATACTTTTATGTGTTTTGACAACATTTAGGTGAAACACATTTTAATCTTTGATTTTTCTGGCTGTTGACGAGTCATATTATTTAGATGAGCCTTCAGAACTATCAAAGAGCATAGGATAATTGAGAAAGGAAAGCTGATATGGTTGGGGCATTTTCTTTTTATCCTTGAAGCATGCAGGGATCACCTCAAAGCCATCTGTGCTACCAAGAGGGGCCCATATTGTCTCTACAAAGGGCAACATAGCATTAGGTAATGTGCCACATATGAGCGTCCAAGCAGAAATAATGAGACAATTTATGGGTTTAATTAGAGGCTCTCCACAGTCAGTCTTTTGTTGTTTTTCCAGACATGGACATATCTGCCCTGATTCCCTCAAAATAATTGTGGATTGTCATTTTCTGTGCCTTAGAACCCACCTGAGCTGTTGATTTGATCAAAGTTTATGTAAAAATGTTAATCATTATAACACTTCTTATATGTGAATATTGTATAATCTACTCCGAAGCATATATTGCCCAAGGATATAAAAGCATGACACACAGGGAGCTCCAACGTTGTTATTTTATGATTCCAAAGTCTGTGGCTCAATCCCAGGAAGGGCTGACTTTTTCTTGCAGCACTAAGCAACAGACATTTACAGTGACCATAAAGTCAGGCGTGTTTTGAACACACCCATTTCATTTTGATGACCTGTCATCATAAAGAATTACCATCAAAAATACTTGGGCATGTCAATAAATTGGAATATCACTCAAATTAATCTATTTCAGTAAATAAGTTCAAAACGCAAAGCTCTTTTATAGGATTAGCTGGAACTATGTTTACTTAGACTATATAAAATTACAAAGCTTTTTTCTTCTCTTCTCAATTTCTGACATTAAACAAAATGAAGTCTTCCCTATTTAAGGTCATGTCGGATTGGAAAACATAAATTGTTTTTGGTTAATGTCAGAAATAGGAAGAAACATTGTTTTTATACTTTGTCCAAGGTCATAAAGAGGCTGATGCTTTTTATTGGAACAGATGTCATCATGAAAAAGTGTATCTTTTAATGTAGCCTATGCAAATATTTCATGACTGTATTATGTTCAGTTTTTTCACCAAATTGCTGAAAAAAGTTCACTTTTTGAAGATATTCTAGTATAGTCCTTTAATCTTGTTGGAGTTTAAGATAAGTTTGTGTGCGAATGTTGGGTGTCATGTCTGTGAGATGTAAGTTGACACTGCTGACCTTCCTCCTGCTGCCTCTCTAGCTATTATCTCCCAGTGCTTTGATAGAGAAGGACAGCAGTCATAGATTCAGGTCATCCCACAGTTTAGTTTCACCCTTACGCCCTCTGCTTAAATGAAATCAGGTTCTGAAATTTGTTTGTGATTTAGCAAAAAGTAGCTAAGGGATATCAGGGTGAAATGTGCATCAGTAATTGGCCGAAGCGTTTCCTGAAAACCATCCTGCTGCACCTGAGCCGTCATCAGGTTAGTAGATGGCTTCGGCCCCTCGTGGCGTTAGCGGGACCATGGGTGGGACAAAAGTGACAGTGTGTGTGTGTGTCGGTGAGCTGACAGAAGAAGGATGGTGCCAGATGTTTCTGTTCTGTTGCAGGTGGAACTGCTGATTGAAAATGAGGCAGAGAAGGATTACCTATACGATGTTCTCCGCATGTATCACCAGTGAGTACCATCTGTCATTTCTCAGGTGGTCGAAGTGAGTGTTAGTTGCTGTTTAAAACCAGATATCTTTGTATAAGTAAACTCCTGTAGAGTATTTATTAGATCTTGTCATTTAGGGAGAACCACTTTGAATAAAAACAAATAGTCTTGAAGTGAAGCTCTTATTATTTATAACATTTTTGTGATATGTTTTCTCATTTAATCTGAGTTGTCTTGCAAATTTGCTAAAGCTTGTTGCTTACTGAGATCAGAGTAACTGGGTGCACCTTCTGAGGCCAGTAGGCTAAAAGTCTTCTAGGTTTCAATTAATCTTTGTACAGAAGCAGAGTCCTGTGGCCTCATTGGATGAGCCTCTGATCCGTTTCCATTGTGCTTCGACAAGCTTGGCTAGTTATCCACAAAAGCTCTTTTTTATGCTCATCCTTCAAATGGGGCTGAAATGACACATATGCATAATTAAACAAGCAGACCATGTGTAGTTTCTTTTCTCTTTTGTCTCTATTTGAATTGCAGCAGAGAGAAGACTGGATTATTTTTTCCATTGACATACAATGATATATTCATTCTTGATCCTTTGCTTAAATAATTATCATCTGTATTATTTTTAATTTGCAATAAAAAAATCTGGTTGCTGTGTAGAAGCTTGTGAATTAGTAAATTATATTTCAAATTCTATGGTCTTCTTCTACTGTGTGGTTGAAATGACTGTGTGCATTAAAAATGGTCTAATTATATAATCATGTAATTATTTTGGGACATTCAGGTCGGTTGAACTGCTTCATTCCCGGTTTTAGATTTGTTTTAGAGTTTTAAAAGTTAAATATTTATATTTGTTATGCAGTTATGGTCAACACTGCACCCCACAATGGTTGCTTACAGTTTGACTTTACTATAAAAAACACAACTTTGCTTCAGTTCATTTAAGTTTGTGAAGGTTTATTTAATGCCCTACCACAAACATTTCATTGAGTTATTTTGGTCATGTCTGGTATTGCAGACATGACTACCTGCATGCCACAACAAAATGAGTTGCGTGTGGTCTTTCAAGAATTATTTAGTATTGCAGCTTCCCTCCTAAATCATATGAAGCACCAAGGGATGATAGTTGAAACCTAATTCTTATATTCCTTCGCATATCAATATCATTTACTCTATTCCTCCATAAATTTAAATCCTGACCATGTTTTGTATTCACTCAACATTTTAAGCGTTAGTTTTTTTTTCACTGTGAGGCAAAAGTAATCCACCACAGACTGGTGTAACCCATTCTCTCTCTCTTTCAGGTCTATGGATTTGCGGGTGCTGGTGGGAGACCTGAAGCTGGTTATCAATGAACCAAAACGGCTTCCGCTGTTCGATGCGATCCGCCCTCTGATCCCACTTAAACACCAAGTCGAGTACGACCAGTTCACACCCAAGAGGTCGAGGTGAGTGCAGCATAGCATTTTAGGTGTTTTGCCGTGGAAACAGTCTCAGCTGTTTTGTATCTTAGCGATAAACTTGATTAAACTTCAGGAAGCTGAAAGAGGTGCGTTTGGATCGAACGCAGCGGGACGGTCTGGGTCTCAGTGTTCGAGGAGGACTAGAGTTTGGCTGTGGACTCTACATTTCACAGATTGTCAAAGATGGACAAGCTTACAATGTTGGCCTTCAGGTATGTAGCTATTACATAAAGATATAGATTTTGTTTTTCTTTCTTTCAGTTTTCTATTTCTCACACACTTTAGGAGAAAAAATTGCACATATTAAAATCAAGGAAAATATATTTCTTACCCTATAGTGTGTTGCAACAGTTCTTAGATCTTTAAACTTTTTATGCTATGTCAAGTTAAATCAGAACCTTGATTAATTTGATCAGTTATGTGAGACCATCTACATAATTTCCATATAGATGGTTTTTATGGTTTTCAAGCACCACTGAGTCCATCCCCACTTAAACCACCTTTTGCTACAACTATATGCAATTTTTATGAAGTATGACGTTCCGAGCTTTTCACATCTACAAAGGTAATTTATGATCCAATTCTTTTTAGCTCATATTTTTCATTTGATGCATCCTTACTTTAAACAATCAGAAAGCTGGATGCCTTTTAGACCTTTTTATTTTTTAGATTTGTGATGAGTTATAGAAATCCTTTCAAAAAATTTATTTAGT